CATATTCAGCTATAATAGTGGCTATAGCAACAGTTTTTTGCTTGGTACTAGCCCAGCTAATAGAACCACTAAATAGGGTAAAAACCATACCGGAAGTTAATTTGCGATCCTGTAAATCGCCTCCATAATCGGCATCTGAGTACCTAATGAGCCCTTTATTAGACGAAGCACTATATAAAATGCCCATATTAAGCAATCCCTTAATATATCGCATTATATGCTTCTATACGGTACCATGCAAAGCTTTAGAATATGAATTAGAACGTCCTAAATAGCCTGCGGCGAAGCAGAAATCGGATCTTAAAGCTAAAGAAGGCCATATAAGTGATCCAGTTCGACTTTAATATTCCGTAATATTAATATCGATTCCATTAGGTACTATAGGTTCGGCTATTAGAGTGGTAATAGGTATGCAACCTTCCATTTTATACCTTAGGAGCATATCCATAAGATATCGATTTTAGTATAAAAACACCAAACCGTCCTGAAAACGTATGATTTTCATACCCAGAAGCATTTTGATTTCTCCTATATTGGTTATATCAAATTTCTAATATAATTAAGCTTTAATACTATTAATATGAGTCATGTTTTTACTAATAATAATCATATTATCTATGTAAATAGCGATTAGGAGAGGTAGCTAATTAGCCTCGTACTTCTAATAAATATAAAGCACTAGGTTACTAAGTAATTACTAGAACCCAATAGAATAGAAAAATCGATTAATTACCTGATACCAAACCCTAGGGGCTTGTTTCAGGCCATAAATACTCTTCTATAGACGGCAAATAAGGTTCGTTCCTTTAATAAAACCAGGGGGTTATTCCATATAGTACTTCTCTTCTAATTCTCTATAAAGGAATGCTATTTAGATATCTATTTATTAGATATATAGCCTATATTTAGCCACTAGGGCTAATATAATTCAAATAATAGAAAGTCTAGTAACTAGTGCAAAGGTTTCAAAGTAATCTATGCCATATTCTTGCGTATATCCTTATACTACGAGTCTAGATTTATAGCGTCTATCAGACTTGATTTTGAAGATCCAGTGGCATCTAATAGTTTTTTGGTATTTTCGTACTACTAGATCCCAGGTATGGTTCCGTAAATAGGAATCTAGCTCCTTCTTAATCAAAGGTTTCCAGAGATAAGCATCTGGACCAGAGAGAGCTTCTTTAATTAATAATGGAATTTTGGAAGCTTCTATATTCTGGTTAGTAACTAGTAAAGCACGGTAATCCACTGATTCCCCGGTAATTCTAGTCGATTTCGGACGTCTAGAGAGTAGTTTACCCCTAAAACTAACCATTTCGGGCGCCTCCTAATTCGTAGAACCCTGTTCAGAAGCACCTATAGGTACTACAGGTTCTTGGTTCTCCCCAGAAGGTAGTTCAGGGGGCTCGCTTAGGTCAGGAGTACCCGGAATTACCTTACGTAATGCGTTTTCAGCAGTACCCCCTTCTATATCGGAGTGATTTCCTCTATTATTTTCTGATAGATCGTTAAGCTATTAATTTCCAGTATTAATAATAATGGTATCTCCGTAATCTGTATCGGGGTTATCCGAATTATCGGTGGAACCATTATCAGATTCTGCAGCAGTTCCCACTAGTCTTCTATATAGCTAGGACACTGGATTTAGGAGTAAAACTCCCTTGACGTGTTCTTTAATGGTATAATAGTTGGAAATAACGAATATACGCTTGCATAGGTTCCAAATTCGATATCCGGAACTACTATAGCCAGTGAAAATGCCCTTAAAGGCCTTGGCCATATGCTTGTACCATAAAGCTATTTCCTTAGGTATATAAATATATGCTAAGGAACCAAATATACGTAAATTAGAAACGTCCGGTTTAGCCCCATAGAACGCTTCGTACGAAGTCATACTAATTTTGGATAGGTAGCACCGATTATAGGCATAAATCCCATATATAGCTACTTCCTTCCAAAACTCGTACGGTAAGCCCGATTATTCTAGCTCCGTATACTCTGATTCGATAATTATACGTATACTGCGTTCAGAAATACCATTCTGTTCAGGTATATAGGTAATAATTAGTTCCAAGCGAATACCCTTTAATTTGCACTATTCCTTGACTTGGCCCGATACAAATTCCGGAGCATTATTAAGATATAGGCATTTGACTTTATTCCTAGTTTGGGTTTTAGAGAAGATAACCTGGTCTTAGAGATCGGTAAAATAGCTCTTTCTGTCCGAATTATATACTGCCATGCAATATTTAGATCCCTTGCAAATAGTAGATAGCATATAAGTATTTCCGCTAAGGGAGGCTACCCTTAATAGCCCCCACATATTAATTGCGATATACTCCCCTGAAAGCAGTTTTTCAGGGTATAAATCGCTCATACTAGCCCTAGTGATTTTGCTTATATTACAGGGATTATAGTCGAATGGGTTTTGATTTTTGAATTAAAGTCCATTAATATGGTTTACCGATTCCAGAATATACTTCGCATTCAGGTAGCCATATCTCTGGTACCAGGTTTCCAGGGAGGCTAGCGCGTCTGATTTTAACGATTTTAGGGCATGCCCTAAACCAAATTAGTCAAGCTAATATAACCCAGTGAATAGTTTATATATACCGGTTACTATGGTCGTTCTATTATCGATAATATAAGCTTTCCCAGTGGAAAAATTAACGCTTCCTCTAGCTTGGGTAATTTTGGGAATCGATAATAATGACGTATTTCGGAATTAGGGGCTATATAGTACGTTATTTAGCTATACTTTTAGCTCAGGAGTAATTAACAAAATAATAGTTCCCTTACCCTTAATAAGAATCATAGATTTATTACCAAGAGTAATAGGGAACGGTTCCACATCTTCGTAGGTAATAAAGGAGCTTTTACTTCCCGTAAAATAGTCCGTAGCGCCCGAATTAATATACCAGATATTCGTAAAATCGTCGTCGAGTAATTAGCTACTAAATAGGGCACTAAATATCGATTTTCTAGTAGTTGATTTTTTGGCAGTATAAGCTTTTTTATAGACAGTTAATAAAGCTAATAGCGCCTCCTGATTAGTGGAATTAGAGTCCTTTCCATTGGAATTAAAGTAATCCTGGGCCAATTTATACGTAGTATAGTCTTTAATATCGTATCCTTTGAATTTATAGAACATATAATAGGCATTTGGATCCCTTCCCCGCTTCGGCTTATTCGACTGATTTTCTCCACTCCCTTGGATAGCTAGTGCCTTTGGAGTGGTATCTGGGTTGAAAGCGGGAGGTTTAGCCCTAAGCTTCTCTTCCTTAGTAGAAGCGTCCGCTTTGAGTAATTCCAGCTTTAATTTATCGACGTCAGCTCTAATAGAATTCAGGAGGGGCTTATATAAGTCATATTCCTTTGGGAGGCCACGAATCAGGTATCCGGATACAGAAACATTCGAAATCGACCCATTTACCCCCTTAATTTCAGCTACTTTGCAACTAATGCGGTTAATGAAGTCATCCATTCCCTTGGTACTATCAAATGTAATAGTTTCCATTTATTAAAGGTATAGGGCTTCCTTTTAAGCTTTTAGCTATTCAGCTTTGACTTGAATCTCGCTCCAAACCAGGTGTACGAGCTTAATTTCCTTGAATTATTGCCAGGTATCGTGGGTAATAAGTAAACTTAGTACCGCTCTGGCAATTGCTAATTGACGAGCAATCGATTTATCGTCCTTTTGGGACGAAATAAGGGCAGGAGCTTGATCAGGATCGACAAATTGCTATAGATCTTTGACTATAAAGAGGTTCATAGCATCGTCTATCTAGGAGTAGATGTTATCGTCCGAGAGAGGCTCGATTTTGGTACCTTTGTAGGTAATATGGGTTAATTTTTTGGAATCCGGCATATTGGATTTTGCGGAGAATTTCTGACCGAAAATGGCTGTGTTTTTGGCGAATTCTGCTAACGCGAAGCCAAACTAATGGGTATAATTTACCAAAATTAACGATTTTGATAAATTTTGGTAATGGTTTTGGAATAGACAAGTAAGTGCTAAGGTCAAGTGACGCTTGGATCGCTTAGTAAAGCACTAGCCGGGCTCAGAACCTATTAGAAAGTGATCGATTTATTAATGGAAAATCGATATATTAGAGATTAATAATCTGTAAAATGACTAGATACAGGAGAGTGAAGAGTAAAAAAGGAGAGGAGGAATCTAAAGTATAGTTCTTATATACCAACTAGTGGGTGGCGATTTCCTCTAGTATATTATAAATCAGATGACTCATATATATTAGTGAGCGTTCCCTGAGCTTCCATAGTGAGCTATTCCATAGGCTTCCATAGTAAACCATTATAAATGAGAGTGGCGAAGCTAATATTAGTAGTTGAACCTGGTACTGGAAGGACTAGTAAGCTAGTACCAATTCAACAACCTGACTATAGTAATTTGTAATAAATACTTAATTTTATATTATACTATCCGGCCTAATTTTGGCACGATTTCACACGGTAGTATAGGCTCTCACTTCGTTAATTAGACAAGCAAGCAGCCTTACTATTATTGCGTTATCTAAGCCGAAAGTCACGTATGGGTACTATACCCCTAATTAGGAATTCTGCCTTGGGGAGGAGGGGGGTGTGCGGGGCGCCAGTGCGAAAATCAGAAAATCAGAAAATCACTTTTCGCTTCTCGGATTTGTCCGCTAGCTAGCTGTGGGCCTCAGTAGAAGTGCAGCGCCTACTCAAACAATTCTAAGGCCTCAAAGTCAAATCGGCTTTCTGAATGACAAAGTGTAACTGACAACAGAGATGTAATTGGAGAGCCTTGCAGGAATAGGCGGCATGTGAAGCAGTGCCACGTAGCCAAGCGCGGCCTCACCTGTGGCCATGAGTGTGTTCCAATCAAATACGGAGACATTTCGGTGAGCTGAAAAAGCACTCGCCTACGGGACTAGGCTGTGCAGGTTCATTTTAACTTATATATCGACCCGCATCTCATTGAGATTGGAAAGAACATTTCTCTTATAAATCGTCATCTGAAATGGATCACATTCCACGTCCTTACAATGCCGTTGGCACTCCAATCGAGTTTCCCTACGTAGGGGTTGAGGAGTATGACAAAGGGCCGTTCTTGACCTATCCCAATCGCAAAGGCTTTGAAAGCCAGGATGCCATTCTCCAGGAGAGCGACACACCAGCTTCTCAGGCGGCAGTCCTTCAGACCTGGCTCTTTTTCGGGCTCTTGCACGAGTTTCTGGAGGAGGATTATACGAATGACAAGGACTGGACCTCTGTCAATGACGCCCAGGAGATTGTTCTTTGCACCAAAAATCTTGCGGTAGCCACAAAGAGCCACTGGGATGCACGACAAGACAAAGAGGAACGACCCCGACACCTATTGGCGTGTTTCGACCGAGCCTTTCAAGTCGTATCCTTGGCTTGCGAGCCGCCTGCGGCTGATACGCAAGTCTTGATGGGCGTAGCTATTCTTGTCAACTTCCTCTCGGGGACAATTCGACCTCTGAGTGGATCCTCTGAAAAGATACCATCAGGCTACTGGTCTGGATATTCATGGCCTGGTGTATTGATAGACCCTATCAAGAAGAGGCTGCGCAGCCACGGATGGTGCCCGTCCGAAATGATTTCGATCTCCGAGAATCTCGACATGATTCTTGCCTCTGTTCAGCTGGAGCCCCCAAACCCTCGGTATCAGCATGCTGAGTGTGGCGAAAAAAATTGCAGAATGTTGGAGGTGTACTCGAATATGAAGACATATCCGGAGCCTGGGCACGTTGCCGATGGTTGCGAATGTCCATGGTTTGAGCTAGACGTCAACAAAGCGCATGATATATTGCTCGGAGGGAACTTGCCTGCCATTCTGGTAGCAAATGATGGCGAAATGTGGGAATCTCTAGCAGGACTTTCAAACCCCGCCAAACTCAATGTCGCCATCAAGTCGTCGAATGAGGTGCGGCAGTACATTGCCTTCTCGCACGTCTGGTCGGATGGACTCGGAAACCCCCATTCAAACCGGCTAAGGGTGTGCAAACTTGATCGGCTGCAAAAACTAGCTTCAGGAATCGAACGTGCCCGAGCAACTCGCCGTATCGGTTCAGGCGCTCTGACGATCTCATTTGTTCCATTCAGTAAGCCGCTAACACCGTTCTGGATTGATACTATATGCTGCCCAACTCATCCACCAGAAGCGCAGACTCTTGGCATAAAGATGCTTCAGCAGACGTATAAAGAGGCCAGCTCGGTTATAGTCCTGGATTCCTATCTCCAGAGAGGAGTTTTCCGGGAGACATCTAAACAAGAGATTCTTCTCAGACTTGAGTGCTCTCGGTGGATGCACCGGCTTTGGACACTTCAGGAAGGCAGCTTTGCAAACGAGCTGTTCCTACAGTTCAGTGATGGTCCGGTCGACTATTTTGATGTGTATAAGAGATTCAGAGACGTGGTGGACACTGGGGACACAGTGGCCAGAAATCTGCTTACCAACTTCACTCTAACGAGCTCGGTTTTCAACAGAAATCTCTTCAACCCGGAAGTTTCCAGCAAAATGGCCTCTAACGTTATCTACCGGGCGATGCAGTACCGCTCGACTACTGTGAAGTCTGACGAAGCCATATGCATAGCCAACACTCTTAGCCTCGATATCGAACAGGTCCTCCAAGCAGGAAAGGACAGTCAACTCGCAATGTCAGTCATCTGGAAGTTGCTGTCATATATCGATAGCTGCATCATCTTCAGCACAACTCCGAAGCTCAAGATTTCGGGATTTGGGTGGGCCCCAGAAACATTTCTTGATCCCGACGGCTTTCAAGAGTCTCGTACAGAAGCAGGCACTGTGACAGAAGATGGACTCGAGGTCAGATTTCCAGGCTTTCTGATACATTTAGAAAATGAAATTTCTGGCAAACTGGTGTTTAAAGACCAGGAAAACAAGAGCTACACTTATCAGTCCTCCACGAAAGTGGACATTTGGTCTCAAGGTGCGGGTATGTTTGCGATTATCGCTCTTAGGCCACTGGTTTCTGAATCCGGAGGAAAGGCCACTCAGAGATGCGTCGTAGCGAGAGTGAAAAAGCGAGACGAACATTTGATTGCCGTCGAGCTTGTTGATCATGGTAGGGGTCGAGAAATGCAGATGGAAGAGGCCGGAGCGACCACGAAAAGGCCGACGGATTTAGCTGAAGGGGGTTTTTCTGCAACTAAGTTGCCGATCAACCAATTGTGGTGTGTAAATTAGAATGTGGGTGCTTGGGTTTAGGTAGAATGAGTATCCGAGGTGATGCTATTATCTCGCTGTCTGGTCAAGGTCAAATAGATGTGTTGAGGATAAGATACGATAAATGTGAATCTGGGGGCAATCTGCTAGATTTAGAAAGAAGACGGTCAGGGAATCTAGGGTCAATCTACTTGACTTAAAAAAGAAGATGGCTAGTGAATTTAAGGTCAATCTGCTCGATTTGCAAAACAAGATACCTACTCTGTTTTGAAAATATGATCTCAAGTTTCTGAGACGAATCATTGTCATTTTATTGAAGCGGTTAGTGGATCTTTCTCCCTCATCAAATCACCGAACTTCATCTCGAGCTCCTTGATTTCACCTATTCCGGAGGCGAATAATATTGACCTCGAACCTGATTCAAAAATTCCTCCCGGCGTTTCTCCTCCAGCTTCAACAATTTATCCTTGCATTCCTGAAAACGAAATGAAGATGGCCAGCCATGCGCACGATAGATGTCTCGAATCTCCTGCAATATAAATCGTCAGTAATTATTATTTTCATGTTGATCTGCTGTTACTCACGTCTATTTCTTTTCTTGGCTGAATGTACACCCCATCCTCATGCCCCTTTTCAGGAAGAACAACCCATTCGAGGGAGCGATACTTCTCCTTCCAGAGCTCGAAAAACTCCACAATGGGAAGTGTGTGATATGCACGCCAATTTTCTGGATCATCCAGGGGTGGATAGTCACGCTCTGGGCGCTCCATCATGATATAATCCGTGACAGTGCCTGCATTGTCAGCCTTATATATCACATCTTCGAGGCTGTAGATTTTTTTGGTAAAATATATATATATATTTGGAGCAACTTACCTTCTTGAGTATCGAGCAACAGCCAACTCCCATACTCGCCACCCTTCGTCAACGCGACCACGTGTTCTGGTAACTCACAGCCGACAGGAATATAACTGCCTTCTAATTTGCTGAAATCGATAGGTCTCTTTTTGGCTGGCCTGTTGAACTGAAGCGCCAAGGTTTTATAGGCGATTTCAACGGTCCCTCTGGAATTGTTGTTGTCAATGTATGGAATATGACGGAGGAGGTCGATGACGGCTTCGTTCTTTTTCAGCGGTGCCAAGGTGTTCGAGTCGATTTCAGGCCAGCCGTTTGGCGGTGCGTCTTGGATTGCTGACGGCAAAAGACCTGGAAGTGTGGTGAGAAATTCATAGAATGATTTGATGGCTGATACAGTTTCATCGCGGGAATAGGGTGTTTTTCCTGACATGGTGCTTCTTCACTTTGGTGTTGTTTACAAGAGGAGACGAGGATGGCTGGTCGAAACACATATGCCCGGGTATTATCGCTAGCGTCTCGCTAACGAGCCTACTGAGATAAGTCTGAGTTTTCAGGCTGCTTTTCGGGCCATTTTCAAGCGATAAACACGAAAATCGACTACTTTACTTAAACTTTGCTCAATTATTACAAATCAAAATCGTTTAAATTTGGAATCCCACTCTTAAAGAAACTCAACGTTGATTATCTAAACTCGTTCGATGAAGTCCGAGTCGATCTGAAAATTCAAATTTCGGCTTTAGCATTCCTTTAGGGTAGCGAAAAGCCTGAAAACTCAGACTTATCTCAGTAGGCTCGTAAGGCGCATTGGGAATGCCCCTTTGCTTGAAATATATTTGTCATTTCATTATCAAACCAAGGTTGAAAGCTTTGTCAATCTCTAAAGATTGAATTGCTGGCATTTCAGATGACTGTTTTAGGTCACACGATTCCATAGACGTGGTGCAGTATGTTACATTCATTAATATTATTCTTCCCCTGGCATCCGCATCCTTAGCCCTTAAGCGGCAAGTCCAATGCAATAAGCATATCCTGCCCACAAGCCAGAGCAGTCTCCATTTAACGCCGGATTAAGACTGTAAAGAGTCTGCAAAGTTATCCCAGCCGCAGTTGCTATATCAGCACAATACACTCCACTCGTTTGCTCTACCCATTTATTGCATTTACAAGAAATCCCCGCCTGCGTCTGCTCTGGCGGTGCAGTCCCTCCAGCACAAGTTGATGTTGGAGCAGTCGATGATATCGTAGCCGTTGCAGTAGGAACCGGACCAATGCAGTATGCATATCCACCCCACAGTCCAGAGCAATCGCCATTCAAAGCTGGATTCAGTGCGTAGAGCTGGGCCAAAGTAATCCCAGCTGCGCTTGCCATATCGGCACAATACACCCCGTCGGTCTGTTCCGCCCACTTGTCACAATTACATGCGATACCTGCCTGAGTCTGCTCTGGTGGTGCTGTTCCTCCAGCACAGGAAGATGATGCTGTCGGAGCGCTGCTGGTGCTAGTCGCACTCACTGATGGGCCTGTAATGCAATAGTAGTAACCAGCTTGAAATTCGGTCCTACAGTTGCTGCCATCGCTCCCAAGGATCGTATTCCATGCGTAGAGCTCAGTGGTTGTGATATTGTTATCCGAAGCGAATTGATAGCACAAGTCGCCAGAGACCGCTTTTGTGAACTTGGTGCATCCGACGACAATACCAGTCTGGATTGGCGATGGCACTTCTGCGGTGGAAATTGGCCCCGCGGGATTAGTAGGAGTGCCACCGTCGCCTCCGCGTTGCTGTCCAGCATCGCTTGAGTTTCCGGGAGGAAGAGTTGGGGGGATATACGAACCTCCTGGTGCGCCGGCACAAACATAGTCGCCCGGGGTGAGGCTATCGCAAAGCCCGTTGATATTGGGATTCCAGGTCAAAAGCTGAACCGTGCTGACGGTGAGATTGGCAGTTGAGAACGATGCTGCTAATGAATCGCAGCTTGCATTGGAAGGAACTTGCTCAAGAGCGCAGGGCTCTGGCAAGCAGAATGACGAATGCGTGATGGTGCAATTGGGGCTTCCAGTCGCTGCTTGAACGTCGCCAGTTGCTGCATTGAATGCCTGCGAGATTGTGTTGCAATTTGCGTTGGGGTCGAGAGTGCTTTTCACAATCGTCTGACCAGTACACGTTGTATTGGGGGCAAAACTGCTGAGATTGAGTGGCGGGGGAGTTGCATCAAGATAGACAGGCGGAGCTCTGATGACTAGCTCAGGCATGTTGTCGGTGTAATTGCAAACATCTAGAATATCTTGGTACTACACGGAGTAGAGAGTCAGTTTTTGCCTCATTTGGAAGGGTTTAGGAGGAATCTGGAGGAACGCGGACGGATTAGGATAGGTTTGGAAGACTTCCTCAAACGGAATGTCTTGAAAGCAACGTGTGATCCACGCTTTCCTCCTGAGACAGTCTGAAATAGGGAAAAATCTCCTCCCCATATACGTACTTGCTCGATGAGATAGTCCGAGTAGTCATGGTCCGGCAGATATGGCGAGATCAATCTCTGATACATCAACCTTTCAAAATATGCGAGTCAATATTGTTCCACCGAGTTGGAGGGTAGAACATTAACTTTGGTTTCCCGAAGCTAGAGGTATGCCTCAACTCAAAAGACATGGCAATCATAGTACCTCAAAGGAGAGATTTGGGAGACGAGAGGAGCGTGCTAGAAACACTCACTGTACAAAACAGTCACTACAAAGCTTGAGTTTATAATTAGCATGGATCATGGTAGGATATGTTACTGGTATTTCTTACCACATCGTCTGCATACAGATTTGCAAGACGCTCGTTATCGGGGCTCATATCTGCTGGATCAGTACAAGACGGATCGGTAGGGTCTACCGTGCAGTCAGGTCGAATAACATCGCTACCCACCCAGTCTTGGCTGTCCAGCAAACAGTAAGTTATATCCTCATCTCCGTTTGAGCTATCAGCGTCCGTATAACTATTGATAGATTTATTATTTGTCCACATAGTTCAGTTCTGGGATTAATATTGACTTCAACTTACTTCCCGGACGTGAGACATGCAATTTGAAAACCGTCGTAGAACCTTCCGGCGACGGATCCAGCATCAACAACTTTATTGTATGCTACAATGCTGTCAAAAACGCATCTATTTGCAACATCGTCGTTCCAGTCTTGAACAGCCTCGAAGCAAGCATCTGTGCAGAGATTGGTAAGGTCGTCTGAAAGCCACCAGTAGTTATCCACCGAACTGGCCATCTGAAACAAGGTTGGGTCGCAAGGTAGAGTGGTATTGCTGCTCAAAAGTCAGCTAACAGCAATATATTATAAATTCTTGACTCATGTCACTGAAGTTGGCATTGTAAAGAAAATCAAGTGAGCGGTAGCTGAGCGGGCAGGCCCACCCCCCCTCCACCTTTCTAGGATTATATGCTTCCACTTACAATCGACTCATAAGGAATAGAGAACTCACAGTGCTTCTAAGCAGTCACTGCTGATGTTGAGTGCCGTTGCCAGGCTGACTTCATCCACGGTAGGATACAAACTAAAATTTTGTGCAACCGCATGACTGGTAAGTAGCAATACACTCATGTACAGCGCCCTATTCAACATTTCCAAAAGAAAGATGAATTGAAAACTTCGTGTCCCTGTGAAATGAATGAGAGTGAAGGGAAAATTTAAAGAATTAGGTTAAACGTGGTCTACAAAGGAGCAACCAAGGAATCAAAGCTTAAAGAAAGAAGATGCCAAAGATTATGATCAATACAAGCAGTAAACTCTCTTGCCCCTGAAAGCCCATGTTCAAAAATTGTCCCTCGCATCCGAGTCAGTTCTTTGCAGAAAAACTTTTCACGCCTAGAACTCCAGATCCGTAAAAAACCGGTGATTGCAGCTGAGAAAAAGCACAAGGATACTCTCAAAGATGTGCACGAGGCACGAGGTAGCAGGGTATCCCTTTGTCTGGCAAGACATGGTCCGTACTAGCAAGGGGGCCTGTATTGAACTGGGATCGATTTATCGGTGGAAAATCGATATATTGGAGATTGACAATCTGTAGAATGACTAGTTTTGACTAGATACAGGAGAGTGATTCCATAAAAAACAGAGGGAATGGGTTCCCTAGCTATATTCCTGATTTCCACCCCACCATGTGATTTACCCCGCACTTACTTGGTGGTGGGAACGATTTACCAATCTGATTCCTGAACGTACGTTTAAGGAACGTAATCGAATGGCGATACTAATAAACGATTAGTGTATTCGTACGTAAGTAATACCCAATAATCGGACGAACTGAATTAGTGGTTGAACCTGGAGTGGAAGGAAAGGATACTAGCCAAGCTAGCTAGTTCAATACGCCTCCTCCTTATAGTCGAGGTTTGACGTTAGTAAGGCTAATAATACCTAGCTTTGAACGTAGCAGTTCAAAAGCGGGTCTAGCCAATGGTTTGGTGAGAATATCGGCCGTTATTTCCTGTATAGGAACATGCTTGAGCTCAATATCCTTGGTATTAATATGGTCCCTAATAAAATGATGTCTGATATTGATATGCTTGGTTTTCTGAGAAAATCGTACGTTCATAGCTAAATCAAGAGCTCCCTGAGCGTCCGTTTTTAGCTCGATTGGTCCCATAGGAATCGATATTTCTTCAAACAGTTACTTTAGCCATAGGGCTTCTTTGACTACCGGAGTAAGGGCGATATACTTCGCTTCCATAGTAGCAGTTGCTATAGTTTTCTGTTTAGTGCTGGCCTAGCTAATTACTCTACCAAATAGGGTAAAAACCATACCGGAGGTTGATTTACGGTCCTATAAATCGCCTCTATAATCGGTATCTGAGTACCTAATAAGTCCTTCTTTAGATAAAGCGTCATATAGAATGCCTATATTAAGCGATCCCTTGATATATTGCATTATACGCTTCTGTATAGAGCTATGGGAGGCTTTAGGACAGGAATTGGAACGTCCCAAATACCTAGCGGCATAGCAAAAATCGGGTCTTAATGCTAGGGATAGCCATATAAGTGATCCCGTATGACTCTAATATTCTGTAATATTAATATCTTCCCCTTTTGGAACCGTAGCTTGAGCTATTGGTATGGAAATAGGGGTGGAACCTTCCATTTAATACCTTTGGAGCATATCCGTAAGATATCGATTTTGGTACAGGAATACAAAACCGTCCTAAAAACGAATGATTTCCATGCCTAGAAGCGTTTTGATTTCTCCCAAATTAGTTATATTGAATTTCTGATGGAGTTACTCCTTGATTTTGTTAATTTGAGCCATACTTTTACTAACGATAATTATATCGTCTATATAAATAGTAATTAGAAGAGGTAGCTAATTAACCTCGTACTCTTGGAATATATATAGGGCTAGATCACAAAGCGATCTCAGGAAACTAATGGTACGGAAAAAACTATTAATTACCTGATTCCAAACCCTAGGGGCTTGTTTTAACCCGTAAATGCTCTTTTATAGGCGGCAAATCAGGTTAGTACCTTTAATAAAACCAGGAGATTATTCCATATAGTACTCCTCTTCTAATTCCCTATAGAGGAAGGCTATTTGGACGTCCATTTACTAAATATAGAGCCCATATTTAGCCGCTAAGGCTAATATAATGCATATAGTAGAAAGCCTAGCTACTGGAGCAAAGGTTTCAAAGTAATCTATACCATATTATTGGGTATAGCCTTGTGCCACTAGCCTTGATTTATAGTACCCGTTAGCCTTGATTTTGAATAACTAGTGATACCCGATAGTTTTTTGGTGTTTTCTGATTACTAGATCCCACATATGATTACGTATATAGGATCATAGCTTTTTCCTAATAGAAGGTTTCCAAAGATAGGCGTTAGGACTAGTAAAAGCTTTATTAATTAACGTTGGAATTTTGGAAGCTTCGGTGTTCTGGTTAATAACTAGCAAAGTACGAGGATCAGGCTATTCCCCGGCAATTCTAGTTAATTTCGGACGTCTAGGGATTAATTTACCCCTGACTAGAACTATTTCGGGAGGTATAGGTGCCTCCTGAATTATAGAACCTGAATTAGAACCACTTGCAGGCGGTTCTGGTTCTTGGTTATTATTCCCCAATAGGGGTTCAGGAGCTTCGCTTGGACTAGAAGCATCCTTAATTTGGTTACGTAACGCGCTTTGAGCAGTATTCCCTTTAATATCGGAGTGATTTTCTCGATTATCTTCTAATGGAATATTAAGCTATTAATTTCCAGTATTAATAATAATGGTATCTCCATAAATTATATCGGGATCATACGTATTATTGCTAGAAGTATCGTTATAATCTTTAGTAGTACTAACCAGTCTTCTGTATAGCTGGAATACTGGATTCAGGAGACACACTTCCTTAACGTATTCTTTAATAGTATAATGGTTAGAAATAACGAATATCTGCTTGCGCGGGTTCCAAATACGATATCCGGAACCACCATAGCCAGTGAAAATGCCCCTAAAGGCCTTGGCTATATACTTATATTATGAGGCTATTTCCTTGGGGATATAGACATACGCCAAGGAACCGAATATCCGTAGGTTAGAAACGTCCGGTTTAACTCCATAGAATGCTTCATATGAAGTCATACCGATTTTGGGCAGGTAGCATTAATTATAGGCATAAATCCCATATATAGCTGCTTCCTCCCAAAACTCGTACGGTAAGCCTAATTATTCTAGCTCCGTATGCTCCGCTTCGATAATCGTATGCATACTATATTTAGAAACACCATTCTATTCAGGTATATAAATGGTTATTGGTTCCAGACGAATGCCCTTTGATTTGCACTAGTTCTTGACTTGACCTAATACAAATTCTGGAGCATTATTAAGGTATAGGCGCTTGACTTTATTCCCAGTTTGGGTTTCAGAGAAGGTTACTTAATACTAAAGATCTGTAAAGTAGCCCTTTCTATCCGAATTATATACTGCCATACGATATTTGGTACCCTTGCAAGTGGTGGAAAGCATATAGGAGTTCTTGCTAAGGAATGGAACCCTTAATGGCCCCCACAAGTCGATTATAATATACTCCCCTGGGAGCAGTTTTTTAGGGTATAGCTCAGTTATACTAGCCCTAGTAATCTTGCTCATATCGCATGGATCGCAATCGAATAGGTTTTGGTTCTTGAATTAGAGCCCATGGATATGGTTTACCGATTCCAGGACATACTTCGCATTCAGGTATTCATATTGCTAGTGCCACGTTTCCAGGGAGGCTAAAGCTTCCGATTTTGACGCTTTTAGGGCATGCCCTGAACCAAATTAGTCAAGCTAATATAGCCCTATAGAGGGGCTAAAAGTACTAGTTGTAATGGTTGTTCCTTTATTAATAATTCGGACGTTCCCTTGGGAAAATATAACGTTACCTCTAGCTCGTATAATTTTGGGAATTAATAATAAGGAGGTATTCCGGAATTGGGGGCTGTAAAGTACGTTATTGAGCTATATTTTTAGCTCTGGTTAGGTAGCTAAAAGAATGGTTCCTTTGCCCCTAATGAGAATCGTCGATTCGTCGCCAAGGATAATTGGAAATGGATCAATCTCTTCGTACGTAATAAAGGAGCTTTTACTCCCCGTAAAATGGTCCGTAGTACCCGAATCGATATACCAGATATTCGTGGAATTTTCGTCATGTGACTGTCCACTGAGGAGAGCACTAATTGTCGACTTTATGGCAGTATACGCTTTGGGGTATACAGGTGCTTTGGGATCAGAAGACGCCTCCTTACTAGTGGAATTAGTGTCTTTTCCTTTGGAATCATAGAATTCCTGAGCTAATTTGTAGCTTATATAGTCCTTGATATCGTGCCCTTTGTACTTATGGAACGTATAGTAGGCATTTGGATCCTTGGGACGCTTCGGTTTTTTGTTCTTGTTTTTGGACTAATTTCCCGATTAATTTCCTTGAGTAGCTAGTGCTTTTGGAGTGGAATCAGAAGTGGAATTAGGGGTTTTATCCCTAAGTTTGTCCTCCTTGGTGGAAGCGTCCGCTTTGAGTAATTCCAGCTTTAGTTTATTAATGTTAGCTCTGATGGAATTCAGGAGGGGTTTGTAAAGGTCGTATTCCTTTGGAAGGCCACGAATCAGATATCCGGATATAGAAACGTCCGAAATCGACCCGTTTACGCCCTTGATTTCAGCTACTTTGCGGCTAATGCGGTTAATAAAGTCGTCCATTCCCTTATTAGAATCAAACATGATAGTTTCTAACTATTAAAGGTATAGAGCTTCTTTCTGAGCTTTTAGCTAGTTCGCTTTAGCTTGAATCTGGGTCCAGATCTGGTATATAAGCTTGATTTCCTTGAATTATTGCCAGGTATTATGGGTAATAAGTAGATTTAGTACCGTACGAGCGATTACTACTTAATGAGCAGTCGTTTTATTATCCTTTTGGGCCGATTCCACGAGAGCAGGAGCTTGATCTGGGTCGATATACTGCCATAGATCCTCGATAATAAAGATATTCATGGCATCGTCTATCCAGGAATAGATATTACTATCTGAGAGAGGTTCGATTTTTGTCCCTTTATAGGTGACATATACTGATTTTTTGCTGTCCGGCATGGCGGATTTTGCGGAGAACTTTTGCCCAAAAATGGCTGCGTTTTTGGTGAATTCTGCTAACGCAAGGCCAATGCGGTGGGTGCAATTCAATAGAATTAACGATTTTGATGAAATCGGAAATGGACAAGTGAATACTAAGTGAGGTCACGTGACCTGAGGATCGTGTGAAAGCACTTAGTAGGCGCTATCCGGGCTCATAACCTATTGAACTGGGATCGATTTATCGGTGGAAAATCGATATATTAGAGATTGACAATCTGTAGAATAACTAGTTTTGACTAGATACAGGAGAGTGATTCCATAAAAAACAGAGGGAATGGGTTCCCTAGCTATATTCCTGATTTCCACCCCACCATGTGATTTACCCCGCACTTACTTGGTGGTGGGAACGATTTACCAATCTGATTCCTGTACGTACGTTTAAGGAACGTAATCGAATGGCGATACTAATAAACGATTGGTGTGTTCGTACGTAAGTAATACCCAATAATCGGACGAACTGAATTAGTGGTTGAACCTGGAGTGGAAGGAAAGGATGCTAGCCAAGCTAGCTAGTTCAACAGCCTGGCTCAGGGCGAAAAGGCAACATATGACTAAAGAAATTCTAAGCAAAGGTCGCCTTTTCGCCCTGAGCTAGGCCCCCTTGCTAGTACGGACCATGTCTTGCCAGACAAAGGGATAATATTAATTGCTGCTGTAGATGATTCATGCTGAAGATTTCGCCAAGACGACAATTATCAAAATATGCCTCTCATCATAAAACCCCACCCAGACTCCTGCCAGATCTGGCTTATTCCCATCAACGCCTTACCTAATGGCTAAAGCGATCTTGGTGAACGTTCATTCATTATGGTAAGGGGGATGTAATTGAGACGAAGTTCACCTGCCTATTGCAAAATAGCTAGCTCACTATGTTCATGTGTGGCACAGCGAGTAAGGCGGATGTACGGAGGTACTCGATCCACAATTGCCACTGTCATTCAATTTCCGTCTACGATAGCCGAAGCCTTCTCGCTTAACTCCTACACTGGGTTACTACAGGGGACCAAGCGTATCGTTTAGAGCCTACAGGGCTTCACTGATTAATAAGCGAATTTGGACGTTGCACTTGCTATCTACCCCCAAAAATTGTCCCATTTTGCTGCAATTAATATGAAAATTCATAATTTTTTTAATATCTGAGGTCTATTAAAAGTATAATCATTTACATATTAATTCCCCAAATTTTAATACTAATTTCAACGATATTATGGGAGGCGTAGCAACTTAATATGCCACTCCGCCGGCCCGATAAGCTAAACGAAAGTAGTAAAGATAATTTCTTTGAGAGTAAAGAGCTTTCGAGGCAAAGAAAGGCGTAAGAGATTAGCAAAGCTTTAATAGCTTAATTCCGGTAGTAATATTAATCCTTTAAATATTTATATATATTATATAAAAGTCTGTTTTTGGGTGGTTATATATGGCTTTGCTTTTTGGTTGCAATTCGATTTTATATTAGCAATTCTAAAAGGAGCATAGTTTGCGTGATTTGATGTCTGAGGATTGGCGCCGCACCTATTTTTGGCGCTAGAGCAATCGCTTCCGGTGGAATCGCGCAATTACGCTCGGTCCCCTGGAGTAACCCAGTGTAGGAGTTAATCCCTACAAAGGACAAGGCAGCAAGGAAACCATGTAACTTCCGGCATGAAAAATCTTATTTCTCTCGAAAGAAGCAGCTTCAAGCTTAAATTGCCCTTCGTATCTGTATGCAATTCACGCCACACTAATTTATGGCAATTGTGCTCAAGATGTAGGACTGAAAGATGGAAATTTCTTACCGTAAGATGTTACTCCCCCGCCCTACTTGTACAGCTCACAATATTTTGCCCGCCATGCCTTGTCATTCATGAAGTTGCATCATTTCTTTCGGGTTTAAATCTTTCTTCTCAAGTACCTTCGTCACTCTTTTGATGTACAGCTGCGTCCAACACAGCGTCCATTCTTTCTTCCGATTTTTAGACCATGTATCTAAACAGTTACATCGTTGTCCTTCTCAACTATCTGTCTTTGGTCCCAGCAACCAGCCCTATACATGGCATTCCACTTGATGTCAGAGGACAGGCTCTAAGCCCTCGAGTAACAAACTTTCCTGTGGAGCCGCGAGACGTCCTTCCTACCGGGACTTGCAACTCTCAAACACCATGTGCAAACGGTGCTTGCTGTGGAAGTGACAACCGTAAGTGTTTCTCTGAGTTATTTCTTCCTCATCCGGGTTGTTTCAATAGCTATGAGACAGGATTTCCTCCCAAGCCCTGTCCCAAGCACTGAGACTTCCTCATCATTCCTCAAAACCCGTCTAGAAGAAGTAATGCTGACTCTGCGATCCACTCTAGTCTGTGGGTACTCGAAAAAGTCTTGTGGTACCGGTTGTCAATTCAACTGCAACGCCACATCTGAATGCGGACCGTATGCTCCACAGGATTCCCAAAAGTGTCCCCTTAATGTCTGCTGTTCCGAGTTTGGCTTTTGCGGATCGACCACCGAATTTTGCACCTGGACAAATCCTGCCGACCCTGTCTACCCAAGTTGCAACACGCAATATGGTGGCTGTGGAGACGTGGATAGGCCCAGTTGTGGAGGAGGAAAAAGCGCTTCCAAACGAACGATTGGGTATTACGAAAGCTGGTCCAACATCCGCAAGTGCTCGAACGTATCTCCAGAAGACCTGAATCTTCAGGGCTTTACTCACATCAATTTCGCCTTCTCCTTTTTTGACCCTTCGACTTTCCAAATTACACCAATGGATGCCAACGGTGCATCGCTGTACAGTCGCTTCACTGCTCTGAAGAGCACTAAAAGTGGACTTGAGACATGGATTTCTGTGGGAGGTTGGTCTTTCACCGATCCGGGAGCAACTCAAACTGCTTTCAGCGATATGGCCAGTTCCCAAGCCAAACGCGCCAAATTCATTCAAGGCCTCATAAAATACATGAGCACCTACGGATTCGACGGTGTTGATCTGGACTGGGAGTACCCCGGGGCGGATGATCGTGGTGGAGGACCCGCCGATATGGAAAACTATGTGCTCCTAGCTCAGGAGCTCAGAGAAGCATTCGGCTCTAAATATGGCATCAGCATGACGCTTCCAACTTCATACTGGTATCTCCAGCACTTCGACCTGCTAGGAATTCAAAAACATATTGATTGGTTCAACCTCATGGCTTACGATTTACACGGTGTCTGGGATGCAGCTTCCCAGTACGTCGGACCGTATATTGCCCCCCATACAAACCTCACGGAAATCGATCTCGCAATGGACCTGTTGTGGCGTGCTGGAGTCACTCCCGATATGGTGGTCCTCGGCCAAGGCTGGTAGGTGAAGATCGGGCCTCTTATTTCCACTTCCCGTTCTCATTTACTCTTTCTGTACTCTCCCGTCATGTACCCCTTATGATTTTCTCTCGCAGGAGTATGACTCCTTCTGTTCCTAAAACACTCTCAATCAGGAAATAACTGACTCCTCGATCCTCAGGTATGGACGCAGCTTCACGTTGTCAGATCCTTCTTGCAACATACCAAATGGCGTCTGCCAATTTTCAGGAGCCGCCAAAGCTGGCTCTTGCTCAAACGCAGCTGGTATCCTCGATGACCAGGAGATCAACGACATCATTTCTCAAAACAATCTGCAGCCCGTTTGGGATAAGACAGCAGCGGTAAAATGGGTGAGTTGGAGTCCTCACTCCTATCTTTAGACTAAATAACAAGGCGCTGACTTTGTATAAAGATAACTTGGGACACAAATCAATGGGTCTCCTATGATGATGCAGATACATTCAAACAGAAAAAAGACTTTGCGAACAGTCGTTGTTTGGGTGGACTTATGGTCTGGGCCATGGACCAGGTGGACCAGACTGCGTCTAACGGGCTTGGTCCTGACGCAAATGTCTCATCGGATCAGCAAAGCACTGCTGAAAAAATGTCAGCAGATCAGCAAGCTGGCGTTACTTGTCGTACCACTGCTTGTGGCTCTAAATGCCCAACTGGAAGCAACGAAGTCACTGAAACTAATGGACAGCCTGGCCAATTGAGTACGTCATCTCGTTGTGCAAAGGGCGAATACCAGTCAGTCTGCTGTGATGATGGCACCACGATGGGAAAATGTCAGTGGCGTGGATTTCGAGGAGCTGGATTGTCCTGCATCAGCGGTTGTGCAGACGGCGAGACTGAAATTACGACCAACAAAAATAACCACGACAAAAAGAAAGGAGACCGTAAGTTGATGGGAGATAAGAAGTTTTCCTGATCGAGCCTGTCTCGGGAGAAGTTTCTCTTGAAACATGCGTTGGGTTGGTGTTTTCTCTGCAATTACTGACTCACCCGTTACCTAGAGACTTGCAATGGAGGCCTCCAAAGCTACTGTTGTGCAGGCTTCAAGCCTGCCCCTTCAAAGAAAGAACTCGAAAAAGACGCAGAAGATGCCGCTAAGGCCGCGGCGGAAGCAGCAGCAGAGCAGGCAGCGCTCGATGTTGCTGCTAAAGCTTTCTGTCGAGTTGCCGTCCCTGCCCTTCTTGCGCCACTTGAGCTGCTGGAAGACCTCATTCCGATCATTGGAGAGATACTCGATATTGCAGAAATTGCTGCTACCCCTGCAATCATCGAAGGGTGCGTCAAAGGTATCGAAAAGGAAGGTAAAGCTGAATTCAAAGTTTTTGGCAAGAAACATACTCTGTCCATGGATAAGCCCACCGAAAAGCCTTCTGAAACAAGGCCACCAACCTCGAGCCACTCTTCCCCAAGCACAAGTACCCCAACCAATAGTTGTGGCAATCAGGCCAGAGATCTCGACAAAAGAGCTGGCCCTTGTTTTCAACCTGTAACATCCTACACCGCCATAAAGGATCCTCCGATATACCAGATAATTGGAAAAGTGTGCGATGGCAAGAAGTGGCCCCAAGCTTGTTGGCAGTAAGGACAATCGGCTCACATGAATTTATACTACCCGATCTCAATTACTCCTCCTGTACTCTCCCGTCATGTACTCATTTCTACTCCCGATATTGTCCCGTACACCAAGAATCTCCCAGTTTGCTCTCCAACTACTCTTGATTTGGAAATCGCTGACTCCCCGATCTTCCAGTTACTCATCCGCGATAGGTGTGGCCAACAATCCTAGGTTCAATCCGGTAACCTGCTCGGAATGGGTTCCTTCACGAAACTTTATACAGGATACACCAGCCATTAAACAATGGGCATTGGAACACAACGCCCAATGGAAAGATTGGTTAGGACGCGAAGGTTCCAAGTGTGATCGCGATGAGTGGCCGCCGACGCATTTTTGGCAGGAAGACCCAGGTCAGCTCATTCGACTGATCCCCGACTCGGACAACTCCGGTGCAGCAAGTCTTTGGAGAAGTTTCTGCCCTGAGCACGCTTCTTTCCGTTGCGTACCTGGTACTGAGCGCATTCAGAACCCACCAGCGGGTAAAAGAGGAGCTGTGACAACATTCTGTGAAAAGGAGCTGACTCTCAAAGGTGAGTGGCATACAATTCCACTATCTTGCCAAGTTTTGACTGAAATTTCAGTAATGTCGATGAGTTTCGAGATGGAAGATGTTCCCTTGGCTCAGTATGCAGATGACGGCCTTAGTGCAAACGAGTGCTGGCCTTCGATATTGGTTGATGATCCATCATACGCACTTCTTAACACAGATCCTTACTTCGCCCGCAACGGAAGAGCTCCTAATGCTGCTCTATGGGCAGCAGCACCGAGCCCGAATCTGATTGGAAACAAAAGCCCTCCGTTTGGTAAGCGAGACCTGGACCCAAGTGAATTTCTTGTCGATACAGGTAACTCCTCCCGGCGACTTACTCCAGGCGAGCTTAAAAACCTCGCCGACAACATCATGCTCCAGGAGCATGAGGATGCATTGGATATGCTGAACGAGCAGATGGAAAATTCAGGCTACGTTGATTGCGTTGGAGAAAACTGCGCCACTCAACTGACACCAATGATGCGGTACGTATCATCTTGATATTGCATGGAGTTTTGCGGTAACTAACGGCTTCAGGGTAAAAACTCCAACCGCCTATCCCACAATGACAGCACCTGTGCTAGTGGATGCGACTGCGACTGCGGTCACATCGCCTTTGGATTCTCTGCCAACCCAGGGTAGCGTTGCTTTCAGTCGATCAGGTCCAATTATACCAGCTGGCCCAGCAGTCACCGCTGCTGTTCAGCACGATGGCCTGAAATTTCTCAGAAATGAATAGAAATGGATCTTGTAAATCGTAATTATTAATACTAAACTAAATACCATGACAAACCGAGTGCTTCAGGTTATTTCCAGATCCGCAACCTGCTTGTGACCAGGCTTGGCAAAAATACTTTTGGTATTGATAAGGTATTATTACTAGATGATATTACTTAGGTATCGCAAGGAATAATACATATTAATACCAAATTAATACTTAGCCTTAAATTATCTTTTCCATTTATTATTTAATTTATATAATAATATATTAATGTATAATTTCTTTATTTTCTAGTCTTTCTATTAAAGAAATTACTTAATATTATTAATAAAAGTTAATATTATTTTAATTTTAAAATGGCTCTTATATTCAGAGAATTTAGTATTATATTCGTATCTCTTATTAGAATACTTATTATAAGTGAACCTTATCAAAATCTCAAAAGCTATTTTTTGCTTAAAATAGCCGTATTAAGACTAGTTTTAGTCTAAATTATAAGATAAGTAGCTAAATAGAAAGCCTAAATTAAGTAGAATATTTATGCTACTAAAAATTTTCTTATAAGGGAAGTGGTTCTAAAGTTAACTAGATAGAGTACTAGTTCTGGGAATTCTAAAGCTTATTTCTCTACTAATATTAGGACCTTAATAGGCTAGGGATACCCCGTTTGGTGCCTTTGGCGCCTTATGGCATATAGGATATGGAGTACGGGGCATAACTATATATAAAAGCACATTTATATTCTCTACTAATACGAGGACCTTAACAGGCTAGGGGCACGGTATTCGGTGCCTTTGGCGCCTTACAGGAGTATATATATACGTATACCCTAAGTACAGGTATATGTATAGCTTAAGTACAGGAAGTGTATATATGTTCTTGAGGATATACTTCCTAAGCAATTACAAGCAAGGGACAGAGGGACGTACGTCTTGCCCACCTTTTGTATATATACCGGGGGCTAAAGAATAGCCGAAAAAGAAAGCCTTACTTTATCGATAGTATCAATACCTTACGATTCTGGCATCGATACCTATCGATACCAGAAATTAGGTATTTCTGCCAAGCCTGCTTGTGACAGCTTGATGAGAGTGAATGAGAAACAACTGAGCTGGAATCCAGAAGCGGCTTTCTGCCCATGTACTCAACGAAAACTCTTGGATTGGCAGAGTCGCCATACTTACGGGCGCCCCAATTGGACTCGCTTTCCCACCGTTCCAGGAAAACGATTGACTATTTTGGGGACTGGGGTCAGGATATTCACGGGGCTGGCCATCGGTCTCGGGGTCAACTTCTATCTCCACGAGACTGGATCTTGCGAGGTCCACTCGCACTGCTCGATATCGAAGAACCCCTCTTCGTAGTGCAGCTGCAACCACCCTTGGTTTGTTGGACACGACTCGTATACAAGCATGTCCACACTTCGAGATCTGCCGGTGACCAAAGAGAGGGTAGATATAACACTCGCGCCAGTCTCACGGCAGTGGTCACAAGGCCCATCTGACAGAATACCAAGAGTTGTCTCGATTATTCGACCAATATGATGCGATTGTGCTCGTTCGGTTTCGTCTGGGTGGGGAGTGGTCCACGCCAGAGTTCTCGTCCACCATTTATTTGGATCCTGGGTATGATAGAGACCACGGAACTTCGGAGAAAGGAGCTGGCATACCCGGGGATAGTAGGATTGGGGTCTCGAAGGTCGTAACGGTCGACATTGATAGCCGGCTGACACCAAAAGGTGAGAAATTTGTTGTCGGGTCTCTACCGGTTGCAGTTGCTGGTGCCAAACTAGCCAAATCCAGTTTTCTGGTACACGGCGTGAGGGCAAATCCGGAGGGATCTAAGATCGGAGGTTTTTTGGGGACACAAATTCTGTAAAAAGGCCAGAAAGTGGGTGGCACTGCCTATAAGCCAATGGGTATTTTGAATCTCGTTCGATGGAAGCAGATGGGAGGTGCCAGTAAGATGCTGGAGTTTTAGGGACATAGTTTCGTTGGTTTGAGAATTTGGAGTTTGTGTAGTGAAATGAATTCGGGGGATTGGAGGGGACGTCCGAGGCCGCTTTTGAGAGGGAGTGGCAGTAAAGGGGGCGATCGCCTTCGTTTTCGATCCTTAACCTGTGGAGACTTGACACGAGTCAGCTTTATAGTACAGCAGGAGGGGAGTGGAAGGAAGAGTCAGAGATAGAGCGCTATATGAGGGGTGGTCGGTGATGAAATGCGCTAGAATTTGGGATGAAATATGGCAACGGCAACCATTACATCTGAGCCCTAAGCCCTACCTCCTCGCAAGCTACGGCCTACGGCCCCACGCGCACCCCCCAGCCATTTCGTAAGCCTGTAGAGCTCCCTTCCTCGTCCGTCAAGCCTTCCCAGCTCTCTTCCCCCTGCGAGCCCTTTGCCAAGCCCTCCCGTAAGATCTCTCCTACGTCCGCAGAGCCCCCTAAGCTCTCACTCGCACGTATAGCTTCCTCCCCCCTGTGCTTGCGGGTTGTCACCTCTACGTATAGCCGCCGCCCATGGCTCTCGTCCCTTTCTCTCTTACCACTCACATCGCTCCGCTGCCTTTAACGCCCGTTCCTTTGCCCCCTTCCTTTATATTCTCCTTTTTAAAACCCTCTCTATTATCTATTGTGCCCGCGCGAACTGCCCCTCCTTTAAAACCACCTACAACATTTTCCCCAAACTCACTGTTTGCTCGACAACTTTTGTTACAAGCCCTAAGCGCACACTAAAACCATCCCAATCAATTCATTAGACCTCATTTCATCTTTCCCAGTACTTTGCGCACCATTATAAGTGATAATGGCGTCTCTCACCCCCAAAAACTCGAATTCCTTCCATTCCGGAAGCCAAAACGCAAACTTCACATACCTGCAGGAACCTCAATTACCCTCTAACCTTAACCGCACTATAAAGAGGCAAAAGGATCTCAATATTAATCCTTCTCCCCGTCTCGAATTAGATAGTAATGCTTGTACCTGCACTACTATTCTAAGGCCATCTCTGGCTAGCTAGAAGCCCTTAAATGCAAAGCCCGTATCTAATATACTATAATAAACGACTTCGCTATTATAATAAATGCCTTTATTACTATATATACTAGATCAGAGAAATATAAAGCTATATAAGACATATATAATAAAGTCGTCCGCTTTCTTACTAGCTTTCTATTGAAGTAAGAATTACTAATTTCGGGCTAGCGTAATTGCTCTGCTTAGTCAGAATTTGTATACTTATATTCTGGAGCTTTACACTTCACTTGAGCTCTTTTCTAGCTAGTTTAATTAACTCTTTTACTATTAATATAACTCCCTACTCTGCGATCTTTACGTGCATTAGTTATGAGCCCGGCCTCGCACTAATAAGCTTTCTATTAGTACGCCGCAGAGAGCATTCAAGAGCTTATTCAATTAATTTCTTCGAAATACACACTTCAGTTTGCATTTCCGTTATTAACCAATTGACAGAAACCATTTCCACAGTGTCCACTGTTTCTATAAGCTCAATCGCAATTATATTGGAAGCTATAGTAAAGATTATCGTCCTAAAGGACTGCAGTTTCTGGGCGGTGTTACGATTCAGCTTTTGACCTTGTCAGCTGACATAGTCACCTAATGGTTGCCCATGTCCCGTTGCCTCCTAGACGCACGTAACGCGGCCGCCTCGCTAGGGAAGCATGCTTGGAATGCACTCGAGATATTTAGAAGGCTAAGCCCCTTATGGACTAGCGTATTATGGGGTATATATATTCCCTCGCAGCCTCTTGTATTCTAGTTTTCCCTTCCTTAGCTTTAAATCGTCTTCGTAAGAGACCTTCTACCTTGCTTTCCAAGCCCCGAATACTGCACCTGTAATAGGCGGACTAGTTCGATACTCTCCGTAAAGTAGCCGGCAATAAAGGCATTTGGGATGAGATTAACCCGTTTAATAATAAAGCAATTGAGACGAATATAGCAGCTTCTTCTAGGCCTTCCCTATAATTAACGAGCTTATACTAAAGGAAACAGAGAATTACTATACCAGATACCAGATTGAAGCGGAGAATTGGGACAAAAACTCTCGACCTATAGGCGAGAAGGGATCGAAACCCGGATTTCCATAGCCTATAATATTTAGAGACGTCAGAGATCACTATTTAGTACTTCTACAAGACTATAAGATTAAGAAACTGGACTGGACGATCAAGCTAGTACGCTATTGTATAATCAGGCAATGGCTTCATTAAACTATTAATACTGAGATAATGCTGAAAAACGATTGTTTGGCTTGGTGCATGTCCGGATCCCATGACTAGTCAGGCGGCCTTCAACTTCATTCCGATGCTTACAGAAGCTCTAACTGTTACTTCTGCCCAAGAAACCACAGAGACAGTTAGCGGTCATCCCCGGATGGCAGCACTTGCGATCATATTTGCCCTGCCTTGGTTTTCGCGCGTATGGATCATCCAGAAGACAGTCCTGTCCAGAAGCCTTACATCACGTTGGGGAAAACAAGAGTTTGCGTGGGAAGAAATATCGAAATTAGTTTATGTTCTGAGAGAAGAAATAGCGCGAGATATCGGGTTCCGCATTTTCGCTGGCCAGGGTCGAGAGAGCCAGGTCCGTATGTGGCATCTTTAGTTTTCTTACAGCGTGAGTGGAAGGAGACCAGAAGTCTGGAAATAAAAAGGCTTTTCCGCCTATCTATGGCTCATGAAGCGATCGATCCAAGGGACAAAGTCTATGCATTATTTGGATTGATGGGAGAGGATGACAAAAACTTCATCGAGCCGGACTACCAAATCGATCCCGCTAAGCTATTTTGGATTGTTGCACAGGCGAATATATCGGATAATATTTGATATCACTAGCCGTATAAACAGCATATAACAATGCTGGATATTACTGGTAGTACACCGATTACACTTTGCATGGGTTTCACGTGACTTGACCTCGTACTAGAACCTTCCAAAGCACATGCAATTGCTCTCCTATCCGACCAGGGCCAAGTTGGATATTAGATTATAGCCCTCGGCTCTAGTATCTATTAAGGAGAGTATGTAAGTAATCTATGTATTTGGATATAGGAGGGATTATTAAGAATTATCACCTATGTGTCACGTGGGCGGTGTATATACTGTGAACTAGTATACGGGACCTAATAAGGCACGGTACTCAATCCCTATTAGAAGACTAATACTATACACGGAGCCCAATATCAGCCACCATAATACGGCCGTATACTATTTCGCACCCTAGGAGCAACTCCAGTCCTAACCTCGTAAGCGCGAGCACGTGGAGAATAGCTACCAGGGGGTACCTGTGACTCTATTTTCCCACACATTTCGCATTTCAAGTCATCATCATAATAATTACTACACACACTTTCATCTTCTTATAAGACCTCTGGATTCCCAAGGGAGATAAGTGGAAGAGGACCTGAATCCGCCTCCCCGCCGAGCCAATTATGTATTTGCAGCGAGTAAAAAATAGAACTCTCCAATTCCCTCATTTCCTCCTTACATTTCTTTCGAATCATTCTCCGTACAACGATCATCGCCGCTCTCTGAATCCGGACTACGTTTAGTTAGAGAAGATAAATTCCGGGTGTTATTGCCAACAAATATGATTAACATCAACCTCTCTTCACTCAACAATCTCAACAAACCGCATAACTTGATCTCTCGCATTGTAGGGAAACATTCCGGAGACTCAAAGAGACCGCAAATGTTACAGGCTGGTTAAAGCTAACACGCACTCATGCCCACCGCACATGACCTTCGCTTCGAAACCAACCGTTCCGCTCCTCACCACTCCCCTCCTTCCGCGCAACCCCTTACCTTCCCACTCTACAAGCGAAAGAGCATACGTGCACATAAAAACCCATCCCCCACCCTGACTTCCATTCACACACACGAAGAGCAGAGGAAGAAGACCGTGCCATGCATGACCTGGCATGACAAGCCCCTTCCCTTCCTCCCCCTCTTCCCTCTTCCTCCAAAAAAAGGATGAAGAAGGGGGGGATACTCTCCAAATTACAATAACAACAACAACAACAACAGGAAAACGGAGTGCCACTCAAACAGTTAACCCCGCACTTCTCTTTCAAAATACCAATTGTCAAACAATTAACGTTCAGCGCACCAAGGCATGCTGTCGTCACTCCCTTGGAACAGCTAACAAGACGTTCTCCGCCACCCTCCAGCCCGCCCTTCTCTATATATGTATTGCAACCCACCTTCCCTTCCCTCCAGCACACAGTCGAAAAGGCAACACCCAGTCCCCAAGACGCAAGAGAGTCTAGACACAGGGCCGCAGCATACCAACCCCTGCACCGGGGAGACCGTGGTTCAAGTTTTCGCATTCGGGTCGGGTGTGTTGGTATATCAGAAAGGGGCGCTGTCTTCGTCAGATATAGAAGGTAAGGTAAGGCAAGCCCAGGCTTGGCAAAAATTCCTTAATTTCCGGTATCGATAGGTATCGATGCCAGAATCGTCAGGTATCGATACTATCGATTCTGGAATCGATTCCCCGAACCCAATTCCCCCCTTTGATTGTAATTAACTTTAGAACCACTTTTCTTATAAGAAAATTTTTAGTAGCGCAAATACTCTACTTAATTTAGGCTTTCTATTTAGCTACTTATCTTATATTTTAGACTAAAACTCATCTCAATGCGGCTATTTTAAGTAAAAATGAGCTTTTGAGCTTTTGAGATTTTCGTGAGGCTCGCTTATATATTTAGCGTCTTGATAAGAAATACGAATACGGGGCTTAATTCTCCGAATACGAGGGCTATTTTAAATTTAAGATATTATTAACTTTAATTAATAATAGTAAGTATTTCTTTCCATAGAAAGACTAGAAATTAAAGGAATTATATAATAATATATTATATAATAATTTAAATAATAAAAGAAAGAGTCAATTTTTGGGGTAAGAATCGATTCTGGTATCGATACTATCGATTCCTTGCGATACCTGAAAAATACCTCTACTATCGATACCGGTATCGATGCCTCAGGAATTTTTGCCAAGCCTGGGCAAGCCAAGGCAGTCACGTGATTAGAGATTCCGGCTCAGGCGAAGAAGGCGCGGCCGCTGGACATGACATGTTTGTCATTTCCACAACCTTCACTACAACACACACCTTCGCCGCCACTTTTTTGTCCCTCCCTCTCCCTTTCTCCGCACATTTCCACATATTAACTTTACATTAGAAAATCAACCCCGCACCCTCGCCGTCCAGCAAAGAGTAGTCCGTCAAAAGACCCAGGTCGAACGGGCTCAGTTCCGCAAGTCCGCCGGCCTCCGGTTCCAAATCTCCTGCGCTCCCGGTGCTGGAGTGGTCGCCAATCCCGTTCTGCGTCGCGAAGTTCCAGGTGGCGCCAAGGTCCAGCCACGAGAACCCATGCCCGGCACCCCCATTACCACCCATTCCCATCTGATTAAGATTCTGCGCGAAGTTATTAGGATCACTCGGATCGTAGCTCTGCTGTTGATTCTGATTTTGGGAAGATGAAGGGGGGTCGTTGGGATTCGGCAGATTGAGGCGCGGATCGATAATGCTTTGATTCCGCTGACTCTGATTCTGTTTGGAGTGTTTTGGTGGTTTGCGCCAGAGGAGTTGCAGAAGGCGGGCGTAGCGAGAGCCCATGTGGTTTACGCCTACGGAGGCTTTTTGCAGGCGCTCGATGGTTTGGTGGATCATGTGGCGGACGAAGAGGCGTTCTTCTTCTGTCATGGTGGTAGTGGATCGTGCCTGTGAGGGTGTTAGACGAGCGCTCAAACCAGAGGGAGGTTAGGGGATCAGAAAAAAAGAATGGATAGGCGAGGGGACTTACCTTGTACAAGAATACAGCGCTGTAGATTATAAACAGATAGTATGAAGACGGCATGTATGTTAGTGTCTGCGGATCAACGAAGTTGTTGAATGTCGAGAGAAGGGACTTTGCGGCATCGACGGCTTCGTAGATGAATCTTGCGTCGGGGGCGGTGGCATTGATCAGCGGCATGGGGCGGTTGGGGTTATGTTGGCTATCTCGTTGGAAGGTGAGAGCGCGGGAAATGGTTGCTTGGTAGGCAAAGGCGTTGACATAGAGGCGGAGGTAGTCGTAGGTGAGGAGGAGGCTTGCTTTCAGCCGTGAGGAGCCTGGATCATCAGTAAATAGAGGGAAAACGGGCAGGAGATTTACATATCAGAGTCCCCCAAACGTCATTCCAGCTTCGTATACTTGTCCGAAAGTCATCGAGGTACTTCGCATACCTCCCCTCCAGCATTTCCTTCCAACTATGGCCCTTTGATGAATAAAGGATGTCGTGGACATTGGAGAATATTTGAGTTAACTCGAGATTAGCTTGGAAGATCAAAGCCCAGTCATCGCTATTCGACATGGTGGGTTGGGGTTGTAAAGTTGGAAAGTCACTCGCTTTCAATCCAGAAAGCGGGCCAGGTCCACGGGCCCAAAATCCTTTGCCAACTCTGACAGAAACTTGCCGATCGCAAATATAGCATGCGGACCAGACAAGTCGCTTTCGATTGAATCCCGGATCTTCCTGGGAATCACTCTTGAACGATGTTCGATCAATGCCGAGGAAATATCCCAGTCGCAACGCAGTACCGATGTACATCCAAGCTACCCGATCTTCTTCTCCACGACCAACGGCGACCGAGGCTTGAGGACGGTGAGACACCCATTGAGAAAGGAGGAGAAGTGCTTCGACTGCTTCCACATTTGCATCAGCGCCTGCGAGGATATTCGAAATGAGTTGTTGCATATGATCATAGCAAATTTGATGTACTCGTTCATTATCTTTGGAGGCAACGGTGAGAATGGCGGAGAATAAATGAGGTTCGTTTCTTGAGAGCCATGGAAGTCGTATGCGATCGAAGGTTTGCTGTGGGATAATGGGGAAGAAGGGATGGAAGAATTCTTCGTAGCTACAAGGGTCAGCTTTGATCCAGAAGGGGGGAGGGGGGCAGTGCGTACCTTTGGAATAACGAGTAGACCATCTCTGGAATGATCATGCCGTCTTGAATCGGCTTGTAGCTCCAGTAATCATCCATTTTCTGGGGGGATATGTCCTGCCCTCGTAGTTGCGCTCTCGAGTTCTTGGATTGACCTGGAGTCTGTTGCCCACTTCCGGTAGACTCTCCGTCGTCTGCGCGGTCTGCTACTTGGGCCAATATTTCCAGAGCATCGGAGGGATTTTGAAGGTCAGCTGATGCAATGCCCTCGTGAACTGCTGTTCGTTCACCTTGCTTGCCGATTAGGCTGATAGTCGATTCCGCACGTTGTCGGTATGGTTGGTGGTTTTGTGGGGTCGTGATCTATAAATGTTAGTGGAAGTATTACCCGAGGGACAGATGCTTCTCACATTCGTCTGCTCGGTCTGCCTTGACACACTCGCAGTATCCGAACCAGCCGTCGTTGACGTAGGATGCTGCCATGCGAAGCCTTGTTCCTGTCGACTACCGAACCTGCTATGGTAGGGCTGAGACGGTTGTGGAGGCGGTTGAACTGGGAGAGGGCTGTAATTGGGACTGGGTCCGCTTGATGATGAGAAACCTTGATTCGTTGGTGTAACGGGGGTGTTCGCGGCTCCTTCTTCTCCCTCCAACTTGGGTTTCTTCCTCACTCTTCGGCCACCGCGATGGCTCTCTCCGAGGATGCAGTCTTTGTTCTCTCGTTGGCATCTCCGACAGGGCTAAAATAAGAGTCAGCGCCATTCGCCTTGGCCGCAGGAGTCGACTGGGAGCTGTCACGTGGTCTTCCACCTGTTGGGAGCAAGCTCATCGACAGAGATAGTGAGTGGGAAGACCACAAGACAAGGTGGACAGTTGCAGACCCAATTGCATGATTCTCTCAAACACAAACGCCGTCGAACTCCCCGGCCTCTCGGCGACGGTGTCCCATGATCTGCTTGCACTCACGATAACAAAGGCTGATCTCAATCGAATCTACTCCTCCAAAAGTGGAATAAACTCACCGGCCTCCCTCCATTGATATCTAAATCACACTTGCTCTTCCGATTCCGACAGTTCAAACACGCTCGATAGGCTCTCATGTTGTCCAGTGGTGGCTGCGGAGGACGACCCGGTGGGGCGCCAGCGGCGTGAGCCACGTTCCCGATCCCAGCATTTGGGGCTGGAGCAGCAAGCTGTCGCATTGGATCGGCAGTCTGTGGAGGACTCGGATTCATCAATGGAAGCATATTCGAAGCGCTCGTGACATTGCCGATGGGAGGCAGCATGTTCTGCGGGCCTACACCTGGGACGGACATCATGGGCTGGACAGGGGGCGGGGGCTGTTTTCGCAGTTCGGATGGACGGCGATTGACGGAGCGCGTTGCATATGTTGCTGTTGGCGATAGTAGTGGAGATGAAGCTATATTGAAATTGAGTCGAGCAAAGGCCGATGCTTACGATGCACGACGTCGGGGATTGAAGAAGGGCTGGTGGGCAGTAAGGCGGCAAGGCGGTGAGGCGGTGCGATGCGGGGGGGGGGGGGGGGGGGGGGGGGGGGGGGGGGGGGGGGGGGGGGGGGGAAAAGGGGGGGGGGTAAACGGGTGTGGAAGAAGAGCTGTCGGGATTTGGAGGCAATTCGAGGGGAAGACGAGGAGGGGACTGAGTGGTGGGAGGTCGGTCGTAGGAGACGCGAGAGGAGGGTGTGTTGACTCGGGCAAGAAATTCATTCCTGCCCGCAGCCGGATTAGGCAAAGCGCGGTGGGGCGGGGAACCGGGACCCTGCAGCCTCGCTCAGAACTGCCGACACCAGACCTGTGATTGGTACGCCGGAGAATGCGGCAGAACTCAGATCCCTCCACCATTGGTCCTCGCCCACCTCCCCCTCCCTCCGTCCCCTCCTTGCGCGTAATGCTTGCATGGAAAAGGAATGGCTTGTGTTACCCCATCGTGATGCCATGCAGGAACCTCATATTTTCTCTTCTCTTCTCGCGATGTTGGCTTCGCGTTTCCTTATCCCTTCTCCTTTCCTCCTTTCCCCTTCCCTCTTCCCTCCTCCGCAACTGAGTCCTGTCGCAGACTTCGTTTCCACGCGTCACTCATCGCTCAGCACTCGGCATTCACTCATCACTCTCAAGCGTCCAGTGATCTCGTCTCCGCTTTCCCCCCGAGCCTATTTTGGCATCTCATCTTGAGGCATAATTGCCGCTCCTCTCGGCCTCAATCATGGTCCTCGAAGGCAGACTCCTCTTCACCGCCGTGACATCGTTGACATGTCTTGGCTTCCTTTTGATCGGATATGACAATGGCCTCATGGGAGGGTAAGACAGTCGCTGATTCAATGAACTCCACTGAGAAGCCTTCTTTGCACCAGACTCGTCAACTCGACGGCCTTCAAAACCACCTTCAACTCCCCCAGCCCCACCATCACCGGCCTCATCGTCGCCATCTACGAAGTAGGCTGCTTCGTCGGCAGCGTCGCCGTCTCCCTTTTCGGCGAACAGCTCGGAAGAAAGAAATCCATCGGCATCGGTGTCCTCATCATGATCGTCGGCGCGTTGCTTCAATCGACAGCTTACTCGCGAGCACACATGATTGTTGCACGAATCGTTTCGGGAGTTGGAATGGGATTTATCAATTCCACTGTTCCTGTATTCCAAGCTGAGTTTAGTCCGAAGGCTAGTCGCGGTCTCTGTAAGGATGTCCCTTCCCTTTTCATAGAGAGTAGTGAAGGCGGGCCTGACGAAAAATAGATGTATGCATGCAACTCTCGACCCTCAACTTTGGCATCTTCCTCGCCTATTGGATCGACTACGGCTTCACGCAATCCCACACAGCCTCCTTCACGTGGCGCGTTCCATGTATCCTACAATGCATCTTCCTACTCCCCATACTACTTCTCCTGCTCATCGTCCCCGAGACACCGAGATGGCTAGCTTCCCACGCTCCTCCCTCCCAATCTCTCTCCGTCCTAACCCGCCTCCACGAATATCACCGCACCAGCGAAGAAATCTCGGCCCTTCACGCCTCCATCCTCCAAACTTTTGAATACGAAAAATCCCTCGGTGCTGGCTCCTGGAAAGACCTGTTGAGAAACGACGACATCCAATCTCAACGACGCTTCTTGATCGCATGCGCAATTCAGGCGTTCCAGCAACTCGGGGGCATAAACGCTTTGATCTATTACTCCAACACTCTTTTCAGCACCTCTCTCGGCTTCTCTGATCACTTGTCGGCACTGATGTCGGGGTTCCTGCAGACATGGTTTTTCATCGCGTCCTTCATCCCTTGGTTCCTCATCGATCGGATCGGACGACGGCCGCTCCTCCTCTCCTGTATCTCGGTCATGAGCGCGATTATGGTCGTGCAGACAGGCCTTATCTACAACGTCCAGAACAAAACAAGTATTGCAAATGGATGCGGCATCGGCGCAGCGGTCATGCTCTTCCTCTTCGAAGGCGCATTCACAATCGGTTTCCAAGCCACAGTCTGGGTCTACCCTTCTGAAATCTTACCGCTCAGACTCAGACAGAGGGGGAGTGGGGTTAGCACTGCTTGTGAGTCCGCTTCCATTTCCTCTTTTCCTCCCCATTCTGCGACTCTACGAGCTTCCCTTTTCGCTCATCTCTCGTTGTGGAACTGATAAATGAGAATAGGCAATTGGATATTCAACTACATGATCGTGCAGATCACGCCCCCAGCGCTGAACAATATTGGGTACAGAACATACATAATTTTCGCGGTGTTGAATGCGTGCTGGGTGCCAATCATCTACCTCTTCTTCCCAGAGACCAAAGGACTCGAGCTCGAAGACGTCGACAGATTATTTACGAAAGGGGAGTCTCTGGAAAGATTGGAAGAAGGAAGTGGGGAAGAGGTGGGGAGGTTGGCGGAAGGGGCTGTGGAGAAGGTGTAAGGGCAACGGAGAAGGATCGGGACGGGCGCGCACAAGATCGATGAAAAGAATTGAAGCAAAAGGAGAAGGAAGCATAACTTGGGAGTTTCGAGCACCTTCCTTCCACCATTGACAACTAACCCCACCATGTCCAGCCGAGCCGCGAGAAATCTTTCCCTTACGGAAACAAGGAAAAGAATAGAATATATATATGTATGTATCTATATATATTATCACGTGACTTGTTCTTATCCTCAATCATGTTGGAACTGAGTGTACGCTGGTACACTGTAGTTTACATACCGGACGTATATGTAAAGTGCTTACCCCGCGTGAGCTAGAAAATCAAGTCGTCAACCTCCAAAGCATTGCAACAAATCAAATAGAAGGAATTAATCGGGGAACTCTCAGCACTTCAGTATATGTACGGTCCATTAATCAATAGAGCATGGTGTCTGCTCCCGGAGAAAATAACCTCATAAACCGATATGATGTCCGCAACTCTTCCTCGCCTTCCTCTCGTGTATACAAGAGCTTCCCCGTCCCTCTTCTGGAGCCTGCAGGCTGTACACCTCAATGCCGCAATTCCTATTGCGGTGTCGACTCGGCACACTCAAGCGCAACTTACACCTCAATACATCTCTAGGTTGAGGTGCGTCTCGCACGTGATGTTGAACGTCATTCGCTACTTGGGAGCTGCCCAGGGTGCTTGTTAGGTAACTAGTAACGCCACCCGAGAGGAAGGAACTAGTCAGCCAACCAGCCATATTTAAGGCTTCCGGCTTGAATCCCAATAGAGTCGTCTCTGCCTCCATCTGCTTCTCCTGACAGTGCTGTACTGTAACAAGAGGTCTGTACCAACTATCTGAGAATGAGGTGCTAGCAAGAGCTATTTGACAACAGAAACTAGCCATCGTGCTAGTTCTGGGAGTTCTAAAGCTTATCGATACTAATACCAGGACCTTAATAGGCCAGGGGCACGCCATCACGCGCCTTCGGCGTGCGGCGGCATACAAAAGTATATTCACGTGCAAAGCACATTTATATTTAGAATACATTCCCATACAAAAGGCGTATTTATATTTAGAGTTGCATTCACGTGCAAAAGCGCATTTACATTTTAAAATGTATTTATATATAGAGCGGCATTCACGTGCCCGAGAAAGCTAGGACGTTAGCATGCCTTGAGGATATACTTCTTAGCGATTCCAAGGGGGCAAGAGAGGGACATGCCCTCTTACAGTACCCGCCTTTTGTGCGCGTGCCGGGGGCTTAAGAATAGCCGCAAAAAGAAAGCCCTTGGGCGGATTCCCCTATTTTAGGAATGCTACGCGGGCAGAACAGGGGTGGCACAGGGGTTGGCAGGGGGCACACTGATGTGATATGTATAGTCTTCCTCCCACCCCAGCCTAGCGGGAAGCGACTGCTTTCACTTTTCCAGCGGTGCGGATTTCCAGGATATAGTCCCGAAGCGCTGGTTAACCCCTTACCTGGCGGCACAACTGTGTTCCAATCGCGGCAGTGTGGTGCCGAGAATACGAAAACGAAAATGGAAACGAAAAGTCCGAGACTTTGGTTTGCCATGTATTTTACATGAGACGTAGATTTTGCAGGGGCAAGGCTGCTCCGATATCTGGTACGGCAGGAAGAGATAATGTTCATTAAAGGCATTTATTAATAACAAGCACTTATCCATGTACCTCATACTCAAGGTTAAATTCACAATTGCCACTCCGAGAAGAGTGAAACGAGAGGGGTAACAGGTGAGAGGAGGGAGGCTTAACAACAAGGAGGAAATGAACAATCAGGATCCGGTTCCCACAGTTCAACATGGAGAAGAGCCCATTTTTCCTAGTCCTACAGTAGCTTAAAGTCAGAGCGTTTTCATAGCCTCTTTTCCCCCCACCAATAACATATTCAAAGATACGATACTAACAACTCAACTCATCGCCCCTTCGCTCTCGGCTTGTAGTCTCCGTGTCCCGTCGTGCTCGAAGATCTGAGTCCTGCGAAAATTCAGTCCTATATACAGCACATTCGATTACCCATCAAAACTTGAATTCGAGCTTGAGAGTCTCGACGGCAAAAGCTCGCGCGGAAACGAAGTCCGAAAGCGCTGTTTTTTATTTCCAAGGCATATAATCCAACTCATAGCGCAGGTATGAAAGCCCACGGGATCCATCTACACGTTCTCAAGTTTGCAGCGTACGTCCCCAGAGCCGGATGCTTTGTAGGGTGATAAACTCAGGCTTAAGGATTGCTTAAACCGTATATCAGGCTTCCTAGTGCGAGCAAAACTTGGAGACGAAGAGAGTACCTAGGCTGTGCAGAGGAGTGAAGAACGAGAGAAAATACATAAGTGTAAAGGAGGAGATTTGACGACAGCAGAAATCGAAAGCACGTGCGGATATTGTGCTTGCTGAAATTGAACTTACGTAGTCTCGACAAAAATGTTGGTGGAATAGTAAACTGCGCGATGTGCATAGTTCAGAGGTGGAGGGAATGGTTGCCCTGTAATCGTACCTCTTCTTGTGAAAGAACCGAGTCATTCTTCGGTGGGCAAGCCGGCTATGACCTCCTAAATGGCACACGATCAGCCTTTTATAGCGGTGGGAGCTAGGAGAAAAACAGCGAGTGATTTGCACAATAATATGGGATTCGCAGAATGGAAATTATAGTTCAAGAGCCAAGTAACCCAGTTGCGAGGTTTGAGGGAAGTGAATGTTTCTCTCGCGCTGTCTGGTCCTTGCTCGCTGGAATATAAATATCATCTGCTCTTCATCGTTTGGTACTTTGTATACGAAAAGCCGTCTCCGAACAGCCTGTAACTAGCCAGAGAGCTAATTCTGGGAGTTCTAAGCTTTATTTAAAGCAAGTATACTTTTCTTCTTTTTATACTAAAGCTATATTTATATATATTGCTTTAATATATATTACTTATAATATTACTTATATATATATTACTCACAAAACAATGCATCAACGGCAGCGGAGAAGACGCTTCTTGGACCAGCCCCGAGATGCCCTCGATCATGGAGACGTTTCGTGTTTCTCAGAAGAGACTTTCTCAACCAGATGGAGACGCATGGCAGTTATTACAGTTTCATGGAATGATAGAAACCGAAGGGTCTGGCAATTTTGATCCTAGAGAATTCTTTCTCGGGCACTCTTGCCTGCTAACAGCAACGGATTTTCCAGACGGCGGCATCCTAGCAGCGGAGGGCTTTCATCTCAGGGAACTCTTCAGCGAGCTTGAGGCTGTTTTTTTCGGGGAGCGACTCGCAATTGCAAAGCCAATGGCTTTCCACTCCTTATGGCTCGAGTGCATTCGCCATGCGATGGGCCCCAGATGGGAGAGTGCGGTTTGCTCGTTATATCCTTCAGGTGTGCTATTACTCAATTTTCAACCAGCTTGACAAATCACTCCAGACACCATGGAGCAAAGGGTCAACAATTTCCTAGCCCATGTTCGTTGTTGCTTAAAGGTCTGCAGAAACTTCAAGATCTCGTTAGAAGAACTGAACCTCTCAGAGCCGATTCAGACTTGGATAGAGTATTTAGCAGGGTCGATTATATGACAAGTAGAGATAACAGAGCTAAATAGTAAGCGAATCTTAATTGGTAAATAGAAGGAGAGCAAGGACCTGACTAAGCAACCTGAGCAGAGGTTAAGGCGAAGGTGAGTAACCAAGTGATTGTGGGCGGTTGGACGATATGCAGTATAAAGTTTACAAAGTTGTCTTGACACACTTTAAACCCGTATGAATTTAATCAATGATACATTGTATCATTTATTATCATTTCCGTAATAACCGGAGTTGAAAGAATTGTGCATGGAATAAGTATTTGGAAGGTGAGATATATCTTTCCTCTAAACCCTGATTTCCTGCATTTTCGTAAGCACATTTTCGATGAATCTTACTCCAATTACAACACCATCTTGGTCAGTCCACGCACTCGACGATTTCTCATCACCCATTCCATCTCCGGGATCGAGACATCGAAGACACAGAAGTACGATGTCCGCATACCGTCTTCCCAAGCGAGGAGGCAGTTCGTAGGCAGCGAGATATTCGAGCCTCTGTTTCTTTTCTACTGCAGCTGATACTGGATATAGAGAATCAAGCTTGGTTATATCGAAGATATTGCTTGGAGTTGGGAGATTCGAATCACACTCAGAATCTTCGAGTGCGAATGAAGTCCAGAGTCCGATCTCGAGAAGAACAACGCCAAGACTATAAATGTCGTGTTGCATGACATATTCGATTTCTGGTTGCATGCCTTGGCGCGAAGGATGTCGGTCTATAGGAGAGACGTTAGTTTTGAGACTCTTCGGGGAGGGCCGTATATTACAGAGATTGTGGTGCCAAAGATCATCCCCAGACAGAAAAGTAGCACCATCCTCGAGACGGAATTGTTCAAAGCCGGAAAGAAATGGTGCTCCGATCTCCGAGCATTCGTTTTGGAAAATAATGATAGTTTCTGGTCGAATGTTTTTGTGAACGAATTGCACTGTGTGAACAAAGAGAACCGAGGCAGTGAGTTTCTTTGCTAGCTCAAGTCTTTCATCCAGTGGGTAAGGGTTTTCGGAAAGAAGAACCGCTCGAAGACTTTGAGGTTTTGTGAGTTTGTGCGGCACATCGAAAATAAACTTGAAATCGAGAAGTTGGTGCACGGAACCTGGCTTGGAAGTCCGCATCACACCTCGACATTTGAGTAAACCGAATGTAGAAGGATCAACTTCTGCTAAGACACGAGCTAGATTTCGAACTTCCTTCGTGGTCTTGGTGATATTGGCTGCAGGATTACAGGCCATAGTGTCGATGAGAACCATACTTTCGTCCGGGCCGAGCGAGAGCTGGACGCTTGAGTTCCGAATCTTCTGAATATTTAGCTCGATATCATCCGGCTCAATCCAGATTGATTTCTGGTCCTTCGATTCTGAATCTTGGTTGGCTCGTGCTGCATCCCGAAGTCCTTTTGCGGCCACAATGATAGGCACTTGTTCAGACTCCGGCCCTTCCTGTGTCTTCTGGAGGGCCTTATTCCCAAGAAATCGGAGTCAGCATATTTTCCAAGGATTTTCGGGAGTAGAAGGTTTCAAGGGCTGTAGGAAACTGCCAGCAGAATGCACCATGGACTCTTGAGGTATTGCTACAAGGGATCAGTACTCCGGGAAGTTGGGACTTGCCTCATCAATTCCCCCAACGGCCATTTGCATGATCAAAATCCAACTTGGGTCGTATCTTGCTTGCCACTTCTCTATTTCATCAACAATCCCGAGAAGTGCCTCCTTCTTCAAAGAGAACTTGGACTTTGCGAGCGGCTTCATGTGGGAGAAGGCATCGGTCAATATTTCTAGTTCCCCAGCATCATGGTTCCAATCACCTTGCTTGACCTTCGCCCCTTTGGCCCTTGAGAATCTGTCTGGTTTAAACTGTTCGATGATGTAACTTGCTGTTTTGAGTTTACCCTCGAGCTGAGAGAGCACTTGAGATTGCATGTCTTGGAGCCTCATATCCAGGTTTGGGGCCACCTTCTTCAGGATCTCCATCTGAGTCTCCATCTTGATCCAGTTGCTCTCGATAGAGATAAGTAGCTCTTTGGCCTCATCCTCGGCATGGAGATAGGTCTTGCACCTGCTCACAAACTTGTTGCCGTATCTGAGTGCATCAGTCGCCGCTGTGCGCCTTGATTGTACCGACTCACTTGAGACACTGATCAGCGAAGGCTATAGCAGCCATTGTATTGCCAACATCCATGATTATTCGTGCTCGACCTTCCATGGATGGTTCTTGGAAAGGAGGAAGTCGTTACGTCTGGAGAGAGGGCAGTGTTTTGGCACCAAAATCGGACCGCGCATTCAGCGCCTCGGTGTCAAGGCCTTTGCAGGGGGTTAGGGGGAAAAGTAAAACGACCTTGTCTTTTGGGGCAGGGGTGTTGGCGACTTGTAATTGGCTATCTACGCTCTTTAAAAATCTCAAGTTAAATATTTTAATATAAGTATAAGCTACTATATTATAACTCTCATATTATAATTACGTGCTTCTTAACTTATAATAAAAACATTCCTTGGTATTTTAATTTAAGGGAGTTTATATACTAATTAATTAAGTTCTAGTTTTTAAGCCTTATAAGGCCCTATAAATTAGGGACTTATAGGGCTTCTATATTTGGTTTTAGGGACTTATTTGCTAAATTTCTAGGCTTTTTTAAGCTTACCTTCAGGCTAGAAAATATGAAATTTTTAACTTCTTCAATTTAAAGAGCCATTACTAATCCAAATTTTATAAAAAGCTTATATTTAAATAGCTATTAATTAGCGCTATGAGGAAATAAAACAAGTATTAAATTATATCAATTCCTCATTAAATTAAATTAAGTTAAAGAAAAAGCCAAAGTTTTGGTGTTCCTGTCCGAGCGCCTCTACTTTGGGTTAGTGGGCTATGGACACCCCAAATGGGGGGTTCGTTTTACGTTTTCCCGGGTGGCCCCTAGCCAGCCTCGTGATGGACAGAAAAAGCGGCACTCTGTTTCAATGTCCCAAATCATAGTAAAGTCCCATCAGACTTGGAAAGGGTGAATAATGTATCTAGTAATAAAAATCGCCTAAAAACATCCGGAGAAGTAAATTTTAAACATACCAGAGCTTTAACGGAGATCATGCAAAGATAACATCTAAAATCTTCCAACTCAACTTGATACATTCAGCGCCGCTTTTCCTGTTTGGATGCGCCCTGCAGCTTTTGTGGCTGAGGCTGAAGCAGCGCACAAGAAGATCCGGAGCAGAACTTACACCCACACACCGTCCGACTGGGATCACGATCGTCGAGAATGAAACTTGCTGGAAGGACTACTTCCTGCTTATGCTACCGCACAGCCCTCGCGCCTACGAGCTCTCATTGTTATTGCTGATCTGGTGTTCGAACACATGGCAAGGTCAGCGCCTGGCTAGCCTCACCCCACCCTGGAGTATGTCCTCCGACATAGAACATTGGCACATCAACGCAATCGTTCACAAAGATTGTGTGGAGGAGACGCATTATGTATCTGATCCTGCTAGGAACATAAGACGCCGGCCAGAGACGACAATATGGCAGGTCGAGCGTCTTTTAGGACGCGGTGGCTTTGGGGAGGTCCGTCTGGAAAGGAACAGGCAGGATGGGAGAGCAAGAGCTGTGAAGAGGATCGCGATGATGGGAACTAACCTGACAAATATGGAGTGCGAAAAAGAATTAAAGGCTCTTCTGGAGTTTTCCAAGCCAAAGGTAAAAGCCGCCTTGTCCCCTCCACCAGGCTCTGACTAATTATTTACATATATATAGTCTCGAGAAGCTGCAGTCTTTATTGACTTCTTTGGTTGGTTTAAGGACAAATCCGATATTTTCCTTGCAATGGAATACGTTCCTCTGGGGGATCTCGAGAAAAATATCACGGCACATTCAGGAAAGATATCGGAGGGCGAGGCTCAGAGCATAATCGAGCAGATACTTTCAGGACTAGAGATTATGCACGGGCAAATGTTTGCGCACCGAGATTTGAAGCCGCAGGTCAGCTCTTACTGTTATACCAAAACTTCTTTGGCTTAGTTTCTTTCTTTTGCCTGAAACTGAGGAGCTAATGTCTTGTGTCTTCTAGAACGTCTTGGTCGTTCACGGCCCACCGATGTGGTGGGTGAAGCTAGCAGACTTCGGATTGAGCAAGAAGTTGACGGATACCACGGCATATCACACGAAAGCAGGCACACAGTCATATATGGCCCCCGAAATGCTCTATTCCCCAGATGGGAGCTCCGATTACACCGACGCAATTGATATTTGGGCTGTGGGCTGCATTGCATATCGGCTGGTCTCTGGGAGTGTTCCATTTACCATCCCAGCCTTGGTACAATACTGTCAAGACAAGTCTCTTTTTCCAGTTGATCCCCTGTTCGACTGTGGTATAAAGAGTACGGGCTCAAAATTCCTTCGGTACCTTCTCGTCACGGAGCCAAAGGATAGGCCGTCAGCGTCGCAAGCACTGCAACATGAATGGATTCTTTCCAGTAAGTTTTTCAACCCTTTTTAATGTTACTGTTCGAAGAGTCTGGTATATGTTCTTTGTTTGCCTGCTGGAGCTTATAATGAGTCAATCTATTGAGACTTCCCTACCTGTGCTGTAGGCTTCAAAGTATTGTGGACTCTAGGTGACACTTGTTTGTTGCTGTCGAATTCTGCGCATGTGAAAGCGTCGAATCAAGCTCTTTTATTTCCATATTGGCAACGTTTTAGTACCTCTAGCTGATCATGCTCTTGTAGGCACTGCTAAGAAAACTCCGGATGAGGATACGCTACAAGAATTATCCGGACTTGAACAGCTCACAATCTCTGGTGACGATTACAACACTGTATCTCATGCTGGACTCAAATCATATCAATCTGCAAGCGAAACATCCCAGACTGTGAAACCCAATCATCCTCGAAACAACATAGGTGAAGTTGGCGCTGTTGCAGCAAGTGACAAGCCCGTGGACGTCGCTCCTCGTAATCCCCGTGGGATGTCGTCCGGCCTCACACCACCACCAACAATTCGCACATATAAAGCGACGACTCCCGGTACTCCCCGTGGGATTTCGCCCGGCCTCACATCACCAATCCGCAACGATGAGGCTACAAATTATTTGAATAGTGACTTTAGGCCAGCTGGAGGGCCTAATTTGGGGAAGAATAGTTTGCAAAATTCCAACGAATCTTCCCTGCTCGAGAAGGATGAAGTCTACCACGGTCATCCGGAGGGCACGGTACAAGATAATATAGGGCAAGAACATACAACAGGCCGCAGACCAAAAGCCACGGAACGAGACGAGAGAAGAGATTCAAATTTACGAGAAATTCATAGATGGACGGATATTGTGCAGGGCGCTGGCGCAGAGCCTCGTGATCCAACAGCCAAGGTCCCTTTAGTCATTGTTCCTCCTCCAGAAAATGAACCACTCAGAAAACCCAAAGGCATCCTTCGTCCTCCCCGTGAGAAGTTCCCTGAACCGCCAGAACCAATCCGAGAAGGCGTTGCTCCCCTCAAGGACGCCAAGAACGACGGTATTCCTCCCGACGCTCGGTGGACGAAGATCAGTCGAAAGCTAGTAAACCCCGAAGCATTAGAACTTGGCAAGGAGCGCTTTGAAGCTAGAGAAGACTTCGTTATCGTCTGGAGAGTTCTATCCAGAGAGGAAGTTCAAGCCTATGCAGAAGCCACTCAGCAAATCAGAGGTTTGTCTTGCCCCTTAATCGAACGTACCAAGTGCTAATTATCCCAGCTGCCCATGACGAGGAAGAAGCCCTGGAACGCCGTCGCCGTCGTCGCGAGAAACACGAGCGCGAGAAACGCGAACGCAACGGCAAAGTCGAACGCAGCTCGAGTGCTACGAATCGGAAAGGCTTCATGCCCAACACACCTGGTGCTGGCGACGAGCCTCCAGCACCGAGAGGAAGCTACGTCACGCAACGTGACAAGCCCAGCGCTGCCCCTGGCGTAAGCGATGGAGGCTACATATCCGGCGAGCCTGGTCCAGCTCGTTTCGTTTTCAGATTCAGTGACTCGGAGTCCGTATTCCGCGAGTTATTCCGCCGGGATGGAGATATTTTCAAAGATTTTCCCGGTGTTGGTGCAGGCCCGGATCCCGTGAGAAAGCCCCGAGAAAAGGCAACTCCAACTCCGGAGAGGTTAAGTACGCCTTATGCAAACCATGGAGGGGAGAAGCTCAATCCCTTCCAAAACTACGATGGCTACGATAGTAGACGCTAGGAAAGCCCCTATCAAGAAGCCTGCCGAAAATGTTGCAACCCGTCCTCATCATCCCATACTACCACGAAAGCTGGACTCTAATCTCAATCCTGGCTAAGCTCGTTTCTTAAAGATAGAATGAGATCATTATGAAGCTATATGTGTAATGGAATGAGCAGGGGAGGGAGAATTTCGAGCAGTACAGCAAAAACGGCCAAGGGGATTGTAAGCGCATAAGGGGCGGCAAGGAGAGGATTTGAGTTGGTCTGTGGCCTCGACCAACTGGAACCCCGCGTAGAAGGGACGTTTGAACGAATGCTACAGAGCTTCGCCCATGGGCGGGCTAACCAGAAATAGGAGAGATACTGATTTGTGGAGGTGCTTCCTTATTGCAAAAGTGAGATGGATGAAGATTCTCGGGTTGAAGTCCGACATGCTTATGCACCAATCAGACGCGGATTGCGACAAAGTGAGCAAACCCCAACCTCCAAATAATCACGTGTGAGATTTACGCTTGTTCTCTATGTGGAAGCAAAAGCATCATGGCTATTCACCCTGAAGTTGCCCCAGTACTCCCAGAATAGCCTATGAGAATGGAGAGCACTCTTCCCCTTCTCTCGATTTTTGCTATTTTTAGGCTGTCTTATAAAAAATATAAACTCCCGAAACATGTCTTATGAGAAATTAGTTAAGATAGTAGTTATATCACTAGTTGTCCACTAATTGGGCTACTAGTGAAGAGGGGCACGTGGGGACACTAAAATATATATTGAGAACTCGAGTACTCAGGATACTATAATCGTGAGAAGGAGAGAAGAAGAGAGGGGAGAGAGCTATATATGTGGGTAGTGGACAGCCGAGAGCACTTGACCCAGCCACGTGACCGTCCCCTGATTCCCCACTATACTAGTTAGACCACTGTTTAAGGGAATTTAATAGAATTCGACTTATATTTCGTGTCTTGTAATTATTAAGTATATTAGTTATATATTAGTATTAATTAATTAAGACTCTAAAAGCTACTTAAATAAGCTTAAATTCTTAAGAAATTTAAAATAAATACTTTTTAAAAATATATATAAGGTATTTATTAGTAAGTTATAAAACTATAGTATTAAATTCAGTATAAAACTAATCTCTATTTCTTTTATAAGGTTCAGGGAAGCCTTCTCTAAATAGAAGCTTCTAATAATATATATATATATATCTAGTAATTTATAAGCCTAAAGCCTATAATATAAATAATAATATAATTATAATATTAAAGGGCTATTAATCTCCCTAATTAATCTCCCTCATTAATACCTATAATATTCGAGGTTTATTATATATCTTTTAGTTATATGCGATCCTATATATATTATAATATACTTTATACTTTTTTTATAATATAAATTAAAACTAATATAAATAGTTATAAAGAAAATACTTCTTTACTTTTTTTTAAAAAAATCTTCTTTTTATATTTATATTACATTAAATATTTCTTGAATTAGTTTTATTATTTAATTAACTATTTAAATTTCTTTATAAAATTTCATTTATTAATTATATAATAAAAACTCGATATAATAAGTCTCGATTTAGTAATATTTTTAATAATATAATATAGTTATAAAGCCTTATTATTTTTTGGCCCTAGGCTTATAATTATTATTATAAGAATTTATAATTCGGAGATTATTCTTTTAATATAATATTATTTAAATTATTAAACTTAATAAATTAATTTCACTTTTTTATAAGGCCTTTTATTTCTCAAATTCCGGTAACTCGAAGTTATAAATTATTAATCTTATTATTTTATAAGCCCTTATTAGCTTAAAAAGCATTAAAAAGCTATTACTAAAGGGTTTCTTAATATATTATTTTTAACTTTTGTTATTTTTATATAAGTATATATAATTCTTAATATAATAATACTATAATATATTATTAGAAAAGAATACTAAAATTAATATTATTATATCGAGTTTCTGCTATATACTTATTTTAAAATACTAAGTACTTATTTTATAATCTTTAAATACTAAAATCAAATATATTTCTTATATATTTAATTACTAGTATTTAAATACTTATTTTATTTATATTTATAAGCTTCTTTAAAGAGTCGCGACTTAATTATAATTAAATTATTATATAATATTATAATATCTTTTTTATAATAAAGGCATAATAAAGGTATAATAAAGTAATTAATAAATTAATTACTTTAGCCTCTTAATAAAAATAAATATTTAGCTATAATACTTTATAATTATAGGCACTACTTACTAATTATTAGGAAAGAACAAGTGGGGGATTAGTGAGGCTAAAAATAGAGGCTAAATAAGTTAGTGGCTATAATGCTGAAACCTCCGTAATTATAATAGTTATGTATCTTACGAAACACCACTAATTTGTACGGATACTAACGTTGAATAACGAGTATTGAGTGCCAGTATTGGATATTGATAATTACTAGTATTCAAAAGACATGCGTTCCTGCGAAACAGGCCCTGAAACATACGACAAATCATACCCATCTCCGTGGATCACGTCAACTCGTGATGCCGGATGAGTCCTCCGTCCACGAGTCAGTCTTCTCTCCGATTCTTGGGTTGCCTTGGGTTGTTTGGATCTGGCAGCTATCGTGCCCTTTCCTCTGGGCCTTTGCTTGGGCTTTATGCTGATCCGTGGCTTGATCGTGTTGTTGACGAAGCGTCGCGATACACCTAATGCAAGTGCATCAATCAGGCCCAAGTTCATGCGGTCAATGTACTCGTCTCGAGGCGGACCATCCCTCGTATACGACGTGCTCAAATACACCAAGGCTTTCGCAAACTCGCCCTGTTTCCTAGGCCCGTCCAATATTGTCCTGGATCTTCTTTCGACTGGTACCGAACTCGATCTCCGATGGTTGTCGCCCCATCTGTGCTGTTCTTCGGCGTTTCTGCAAAGTGTATCGAGGCTCCCATCATTTACAATCTGCTCGACGTCTCGGCCCACAAAAGCTACCGGTGCGCACACTAGCTCTACATGAAGCTCTTCTTTCTCGTATGCCCCCGTATGAACACCTTCACTGCGGTCCAATCTGGCCTCATCTTTGTCGCTGAGGAGATAACAGATTCCTTCGACAGAACTTTGACTATCTGCAACAACGTTGGCATAACCCCGCTCGTTGATCTGCCATCGATAACTGTGAAGTGTCGCGGAACCGATCAAGCGGCTCTCTGGACAGCGTTTCGCCATCTGCTTCATTTGGAGATTACTACCATATGCAAAATACATCGTCTGGCCATTTCCCGATGGCTTGGAAAACATCGTGTTTTCTTGCTGTAGTGAGGTTTGCGAAATGTTAGTATTTTCGAAAGACGACACGGTTGCGAGCTTTATCAAAAGTTGCCAAACTCCCATTGTCATTGCGCCCTGTAGTGTGAGTCTTGCGTGGAGCAGCTGGAGCCTAGAATGGGTGGACGTTTGGCTTGCCACGCAGTGTTTGCAGGGTGCCTTTGCACACAGCCTCGGGGAGGTGACGGAGCTAACAACTAGCTGCATGCTGCGCCCGAATTTCTGCACATGAGCTGCAGTTGCACACGAAGACCAGTGGTCTCATGTGAAACAACCAACGCCCAGCTTTTGAGGTCTTGATGAGAATTTCAACGGAGTTTCGATTTTGTGATTTGGTCCGTACTCTATTCGCCTATTCACAGCTGTTGCAGCTCGTCCGGGATATGTGATTTGTTCGTTTGCGGACAACCAAGTCGACCCGTCCAGCTCATGGACGGTGTCTTGAAATGAGAGTCCTTCCAAGCTTCTGCCGTCCTGCAACACGAATGAAGGGTTGGCCTTGCTTGGGCGCAAGTTCATGAGGCGATCAAGTACTGTTAGCGTTGGTCTCACGTCCTCATTTGCCTGATATCTAATGGCTGGGACGGCAATCACAATCTTCTCCTCGACCTTGTGAGTATAGGGAGAGGTTCAGGCCCACCATCTTCAAATACATTTTCTTTCTATATTTGCACTTCTAGAGGTGGTTTTGCATCATGTCTACCCCCCTGAGGCGGCTTAGTTTCGGGGTCGAGATCGAGGTTGTTGGCGAGCCCTGGAAAGTAAGGGAGGGTTGGAGGCCCCAGCAGTATTACGACAGACTTCAAAAAGCCTTGGAGAACCGAGGTCTTGCAGCATCAGTTGACCGACCCGATCACTATGATAAATGGTTCATCACAACTGATGCATCCCTTCACGCTGTGGAGCCACAAGGTAAGTAGAGCATTCCATGAGTTCTCAAAGTGGAAGCTCTTTGAAAATGGTACTAACAACCTTCCCAGTGAGCTTGGAAGCCGTCTCGCCAAAAATGACGCTAAATGGAGACTACGCAGATCAAATCAAATTGTTCTGGGAGTCTTTGAGGATTGTGTTCAAAGTTCAGATGAACCCATCAGCCGGGACCCACATTCACATCGGATCTCTGGGTGCGAACTTCAGTCTCGATGATGCCAAACGAATCGCTTTTGCGGCGTGTATCTATGAGCCATATGTCTTTTCTCTCCTACCTACAGCACGGCGAGATAATCCATATTGTGTACGCAACTCAAAACGACCGGGCAGAATGAGGGAATTGTTCGAACAGCGCACCCCTGCCGCCTTGCGGCTGATCTCAAACGACATCAAGGCATGCGCAGACTTTAGTCAGTTGGTCGTATATATGCAAGGAAGTGGACAAGACGTGAAGAGTAGAAGAACGCTTTGGAATTTCCAGAATTTGGCACGAGGACCAACCGCTGGGTATCCACCAACCTATACGGTTGAGTTTCGGGGCGGCCGGCATATGCGAGGGCATTTGAGGACGCTGGCTTGGCTTTCTTTTGCCGTCACGTTCATTGCCATGGCACTGCAAGAAGTAAGGCAGCACATGAAATCAAAAGCAGTGCATAGCTAACAAGTGGTGCAGAATCTTGTAAACTCTCCAGGGCCATATTGTGTCTCTCACAATGGAAAGGCTGCAGAAGTAGCCCGGTTCTGGACGAAATTGAGGAGCAGTGCAAAGCTTCTGAAAATTGATGAACATCTGCCAAGTAGCTTCAAGATGATGAGTGAGAAGGAGCCCTGGGCGTGAAGGTCGGCCCAAAGTCCGCGGTCGAATGCGGTGCTGTTTGCCGCTGATTTGAAAGGTTTCAGGCGGAGCGTGGTGTGGGTGTGGCCAAGTGAACGAATCAAGACTAGTATACGGAGTACTGGACATCGACTATCATGTTCGTGCATTTGTGACCACACCGTGAGGGATATCAAGAGGTGGTCAACCTGAATGGTCGCCTCATGGGGCGCAACGCCCGGGATACTTGCCCAAACGGCGGGCTAATGCAAGCCCAGCTGTCCGTGACGGCGTAATTTGCGAATACGCCCTGTTAAGCTCTCAAGTTTCGAACTTGCAGAATACCGAACAACGCCTTCTGCACCACAATCACTCAGTGATCCGGATATGGCCATACATGATTTAGAACCAGATGCCAGGTGCTGATGACTCAAAAGATACAGCCTGACGCCATGCGGAGCCTCGAGGCTGAATATACATCGCTGGCAATTTTTCTCATGGTCCGCCCAGGTGCCAGGCAGGGTATGGAAGGTGAATGAACACGGATTTTCATCGAATGGAAGTATACAATTCAAGCCACCTCGCCTCATTCTCTCTTGCTCTGGGACATAGACAGATGCCACACCACCAAAGTCTGCGATGCAAGGCTTTGAGGCGTCAGGCAGTTTGTGTACCATGACGAAGCAAGGAATCGCGTCCCGCGCCACCTGAGGATTTGTGCGCCGGGATCACTTTAGAGTATTGACTACTGTGACCCTTAAAGTCGATTATATGACCCAGCCGTTCCTTCCCGATTAGGACGTGTCAAAACCCGTGGAACATTTCCGAGATGGTCAATACCGCTGGACGTTGCGATCCTCCTCTTAGTTTTGGAATCGAGATTGAAGCGGTAGTTCAGCCAAGAAAATATCGCTCACATGACGTTCAGCATTACGAGGCGCTTGCTCGGAGGCTCGCCGGATGTTACGATATCAGAGCCGATTGGAATAGAGGAAACAGGAGAAAGGGCACCAACTACAACGTTTGGTACATTACAAGAGATGGATCTCTAAAAGCAGAGGATCACGAGGGTACGACTGTCTATATCTCATTCCAGCGAGGTTAACTGCTTCTCTTGTCAAGAGCCAGACGGCTAATACACCCGTTACAGTTGCGCTTGAGGCTGTGTCGCGTAAATTCGAAGTATCATCGTGCTGGGAGGTGGAAATTGACGCATTCTGGACAGCGATGGAGGATCTTTTCTGGCTTAGCTCTGACCTAACGGACTCGAACCTGTCGTGTGGAAGTCATATACATGTTGCTCCCTCGACCCGGAGCTTCACGTTGGGGGAGCTCAAGCAAATCGCCCTTGCCACGATCATTCATGAGGATCATATTCTCACTATTCTTCCTGAATTTCGAAGGAACAACAAATACTGTATTCCAAACAGCTCTGTGAAGGACACCCAGCTATGGAATGACTTCGGCTGGCTGAAGAACGAGGAAGGATTGATTGAGTGCCGCAGGCGAATCCGTAGCTTCAGATCGACGGCGGAGTTGGTAAAGTATATGCAGGGCGAGGAGCGAAAAGTTCTTTGGAATTTTAATAACACACTCCATAATGGTTCGGGAACCGTAGAGTTTCGAGGCGGGAGATTTTTGTCGGATGCGGAATCAACTAAGAGCTGGGCCACTTTCGCCTTCCTGTTTATTGATCGGGCTCTTCGGTCTGTAAGTGCTCTTCCTCCGAATCACCATTCGCACATGGAACTGATTAGATTTGAGAATTATCTATACGTGGACTATGGGTTGGCATGGGTGCCGCATTGGCGAGACGAAACGGAGTTTCGTGCAGAGAGGGATGACCTGTGGGATGATCTGATATCTATGGCTAATAATCAGCATATGTCATGCAATTTGCCTGCTACTGTGCACCGTATGAGCGAAGAAGAGTCTGACGAAGAAGACTCTAGTGAAGAAGCTGAAGGATCGGGCGAATACGAGGACTCCGACGAAGACTCTGACGAAGAATACGACGATTTCGAAGATTCCGAAGATGAGGAAGAGGAAGATCAGTACTACGTATATTGAACGGATTCATTGTTTCATTAAAGAGCATCGTTATAATATCAATACAAGAAAATGGTCTATATGAGGTTGGATGGTCCTGGAGCAGGGAGGGGGATGAAGGACCGAAAATCTGGAGCGCTAGTACTTTTCGGGATCGGCAATGCCGATTCTCTGTATAGATACAAAAACAGTGTGCCCCTGCCAATCCCTGCAACATCCCTGTTTTGCTCGCATAGCATTCCTAAAACATGGGTGTACGCCCAAAGGGGAAGTGACAGGAGGCTAACTCTGATTAGAATATATAAGCACCCTCTCTGGGTAAACCCTAGAACGGGTGCTTATACAATTGAGAATTAGATTCTCTTCTAGCCCCCTTCCCCTGCACTTCGCAAGCTAATTTTTATAATTTTATCATAAAGTAAGGCTTTCTTTTTCGGCTATTCTTTAGCCTCCGGTATACGTATAAAAGGTGGACAAGATGCACGTTCCTCTATCCCTTACTTGTAATCGCTTAGGAAGTACATCCTCAAGAATATATGTACGCTTCCTGTACTTAAGATATACGTATATATACGCTCCTGTAAGGAGCCGAAGGCGCCGAACGCCGTGCCCCTAGCTTATTAAGGTCCTAATATTAGTAGAGAAATAAGCTTTAGAACTCCCAGAACTAGTGCTCTGTCTAGTTGAAGGGCAAGTGATATACTTGTCGTAACATAGAATACTGTTTAAGCCATATGCTTTCTTTTTTATAACATGTTTTGTGAGTCTTGTATAACCTGTATAGCAAACTTTACCCCTCTATCCTCATTTCGAAACACTGCTAAAGTAACGTCCTAGAATAAGCCGTTAGTCATTCGCTTGACTCTGAAGAGACTAAAGAATTAGGACTTACTCTATAATAAATGCCTCGATTGCATGATATTGGGGCTTATTGTGCGTCGATTAAGACTAGCACGAAGTCTCGACTCGTTGTATCACTGAATGGACTGTCAATTTTTGTACAATATCAGCAGTGATCAATCTAGCCATTATGGCCAAATATGAATGGCAATTATGAGCTCGTCAAGGAGAACCCTGATCTCATTCTCGTATTTTTCATGTCACTCGTCGCATAAATTATTCTCGCCATCTCCTCTCTGATCTCCTGTTGCTTCCAGCTCCTCCCAAACCTCCTTGCCAAGTCGCCCGACAATCAGATATCCCTGTTGAAGGACATTTTAAGTTCAGATGAGGATGGCGTATCTTATCTCTTCTTTTGTGAATTTATCCACGGCAATTTACTGCTTCTTAACGGGCGTTGTCATGGGATTTGAAGATCTCTCAGTGACTCTCGGGTAAGAGGAACGATTTCTTCGCAGGTTGGAGAATTGTAGGATGTGTGGGTTTGAGGGTACTCAGAGTAGATACTTTTGTGAGCTCTCAAAGGCTTTCAGCGGGTTGATCTTGTCTCTTTCATATGTGCAGCAAAAGACACTGGATCCCGATTCCCGAAGGGGAAGAATCTAGCCTAATTGCAATTCAAAGATTGATTTTCAAATAGAATTCTATCTTCTTCGTAAATGACAGAGAATGCCCATATGTCCCTTTGTCTGCTCCTCGAGCCAGCTGCCAGCCGGGTTAGCACTTCCATTCCACTCTCGGGGTTTCTACCTTACTCCCACGCTACTCCTCCCCCGAACAAAAGTCCTTCGTCCTGCAATCGCACGTATAAACCAAATTTTCTCCTTGGAGAAGGCAAGAAGTGCCATTGTCAACCCATGCCGCCTCGAACCCACAAGCTCGTGGAACAAAAGTAAATCCAAAGTTCAGCAGCTCGTATCAAGCACTCAAAAAGTACTAAAGACACGGCACGTAATCAACCACGGGGACTATCAACCACTGGACCCTCTCCTTCGTATACTTCTCACCTAGTAAAACTGTAAACGAAGAAAGTCCGGTAACACGGACAACGCAGGGTCTCACGAATGCAAGTTCTGGCTCTGCCGCACCAGACTCAAACACGACAAAACCCCCGAACCTGTGCTTAAAATAGAACAAAATAGGGTGTCAACATATGACAGCAATTCGATAAGCTCAAAATACTGTGGAAATATTCGTGCAGTGCACAATACATGCGAGCGGAGGCCTCCAAAATCCTGCCTGTGATACAGAGAGATAAAGTGCTTGGCCACTTGCTGATTGTATGAAAGCTAGATACAGTAATCTCACTTGCTCAAGAATCTTTGGCTCATGGCTTTCGAGATAAACACCTCGTTGAGCGTGCCCGGATTTGAAAATTAGGGGCCAGGCCCACCGTCCGTGAGTGCCAGGGGGGGTGAATGACGTATTCTGAACCCGCCTTCGAATCTCCTGTTTCGGGTGTTTTCTTATCATCGAGTTTGCTCCGAAATTGCGTGGGGCGCCATTGATGCATCATGACTGAAAAGGGGAAAGGGGCAACCTTATTTGGATAATATCCCGATTCGGTAGCGCTAGCGGGTCCCAGGGACTCGTAAGGTTAAGGTTACTACTGTAAACTTTCTCGCTAAAATCCAAATCAGCCGCAAAGCTACAATTTTCCACACGAAGAACATCCCACCGGCGAGGCTCTCAGCTCATCAACTCACACGAGCCACGAGTGCAATTCTTATCACCCAGAGTCTGCCATCGACCAGAAGTCGGAGCTGATGTTCTATTTTGAAGTTTCATCCGAATCCATGCTCACCGATATCGATACGAACAGGTGCCGATACGAAAAGGTCTGCGTGGCAGACCCACACGTCAATGCGCCTGCGGAGCCCAAGGACGTTGACAAGAATTCTTCGACACATGAAACGAACCCTGATCTTGTCAAGCCGTCAGGTTCGTCTGTTGTTCTGCCGTTCCGCGCAAGTGGAGGCGCAAGCTAATACGGATCCGTGGGTGGAGGCGCAATCATGGCTGTCTATTCTTGGACATGAAGATGATAGGTCGACCTTCACATCCGTTGAACACCAAGTCAGGGCTGATGTAGACCAGGAGTCATTTCGCCGCATGACTTCATCCAGATTGCACCTGGTCACTTCAAAGGAGATACCAAAAGTCCCGACGAAGGCCTCCCTGCCGCAGCGCACATCGGTACCGTTCCGGGACCACCTTCCAACCCCCCCCAGGGACAAAGCTTATCAATATCCTGGAATGCGACAAAAGCAATGGTTCCTGGCCTTCCTGCGGACTGTCCCGCACCTAGGGTCTACATGCATTGGGGCGCGTACCATGCGACCCGTTAGAAGTCAAGTTACTCGTCACTATTGTCAGCTCCGAAGAGCGCGCTAGTGGCGGCAAGTGTAGTGATTGCACTTGTTGAGAGCTCTCTTCTGCGGTCTTGTTGGCTAAAGACCATTAGTTATGGTCCACCCCTGGAGATCTGAACAAGCTTGTGAACGTGGCCAAGTCCGGCAGGACGATCTGCATCTCTCGAGATGGGCTTCGTCCGCAGTAGGCAGTCTGGGCCGGATTGTCCGATAGGTGTGGCTCTAAGCCCCGATTGATATCTCTCAATCTTATATATCAGGCGGAGTAAGGAACTGTCTGGGTATTCCATCGATAGTCCTTCAACGCTCCCCAGAGCTCTTTCGTCAACCAGCAACACTACATTCGTTCCACTTCACTGTCTTTCGTTTTCATCTTTCGTTCATAACCTTTTCTTTGGCAATGGCTTCTTTCTCATCAAGGTCGAGGCAGAGTTCGCCATACGGCCATTTCCAACCGTTGTCACCATTGCCTAGTCGACCAAGCTCCCCCCTTTCCAGCCCACCTCTGACCTCCCATGGGCCCTCGCACTCGGCATCTTCTTCAACACCTTTTCTTAATCATAATCAAGACTCAACGACGCAGCTGCCTCGATACCCCCTGCCAACCTTTCGCCGCAGCCCTTCATCGACATCTCTCACATCCGAATACGATGAGTGCGACGGCTCAACAGCTTGCCCGACGCCCAACCCGGAAAGTCTCCTCGGTGATGGTAACCAGCTCTACAACATAAACTTGGCAGCAGCATCCAAGAGTGCGTGCTCGTTCAAGACATACATCAACCCCGATACCTTCACCATCGAAACTTTACACGAACACGACGATGCTGACCTGCTCGTGCCTTGGAAACGGAAAATTTATCGCCTTTCGCCACTTTTCACGTTCCTGGCTGTCGCCGCTTACTTTTTGTATTATGGATATCGAATTCATTGCACAGTGTATGCTCAGCGAGCATATCATAAGACATATATAATGGCATGGCTGTTCATTGCTGCGGAGGGCTGTGTTGCGTGTAAGTCTTCTCAGCCGGAGGGTCTTTCGTGTCTAATATGATCCAGGTCCTGCACTGCTACACCAAATGTACCAAATGCTTTCCATCCGCGGTCGCCGCCGCCCTAAGCTTCGTCTAGTTGGCAAGAACGTTCCCACTGTTGACGTTTTTATTACATGTTGCAAAGAGGATGTTGACATTGTCTTGGATACAACTCGTGCTGCATGTGCCGTCGACTACCCTCAAGACCGCTTTCGAGTCGTTGTGCTTGATGACGGAAAAGATGCTGAGCTAGAAAAGGCAATCGAAGATTTGAGCCAGGAATACCCCAACCTTTACTACCATGCTCGTATCAAGATCAAGGGCGTCCCACACCACTTCAAGGCAGGGAACTTGACTGGCGGAACCGACTTTGTGACCAGGGTAGATGGTGGTGAGGGGGAGTTCATCGCTGCATTGGATGCAGACATGATTCCGGAACCAGACTGGCTGAGAGCAATCATCGCTCACATGGTCAGCGATTCAGAGATGGCGCTGGTCTGTCCTCCGCAGGTAAGTCTTCCTTCACGTGATCGCCATTTCATTGCTAATGATACCTTAGCTATTCTACAACATCCCTGAGAACGACCCTCTCGTTCAATCTCTCGACACTTTCGTCCACGTCATGGAGCCCACAAAAGACGCCAACGGGGTAGCCTGGTGCACCGGCTCCGGCTATGCCATCCGCCGCCAAGCCCTCGAGTCCATCGGCGGCTGGCCCGTCGGTTCCCTCGCCGAAGATACCTTCACATCCTCCCTCCTTCTCGGCTCAGGCTGGAAAACAGCCTTCTGCCACGAAGCACTACAATACGGCACCGTGCCTGACACCCTCACTGGACACCTCAAGCAACGCACCCGCTGGACGCTCGGCACTTTACAAACCGCTCTAAAACTCAAATTCTGTCTCTACGGAGATTTGGTAAAAGGAATGAGTTTCTTTGCACGACTATCAGCATTCGTCTTCGCAATCGACGCATTCTTCAAGATATTCCTCCTTATCGCTCTCCTCACCATTCCCATCGTGCTCATCTCGGGCGGCCAACTCGTCGCCTATAGCTCAAACAACCAACTACGCTGGCAGATCCGCCTCTGCTTCGCATCTCTTGTGCTGACGAGATTAAATGAATGGATCACTTACCTGCCCTCCGGTTACAGACTGGCGCAGAGAGATACAGGCGCACAGATGTGGATGGCCCCTTTCCATGCCATGACGATCATCCGCAGCTTCATCCTGCCTACCTGGCTCGGCGGCAAGGCAATGGCGTTCTCGTCTTCCGGGAGCGTGAAATCGGAACTCAATGAACGGGATCCGAAAACCCGCGCACCCCTATTCCGGCGGCTCAAAGTTATCCTTTGGGATTGCGACGTGTACCTCCACCTCCTTTACGTCCTTTTCGTACTCGCTGCCGTTATTTATTCCACAGTTATGGGATTCAAGGAGAATACGACTGTGCATAAACTGTACATTTACCTCCTGACACACGCGTTCTGGCCGCCGATGCTGTGGCTCCTTTGTATCACGGCATGCTGTGAACCGATCAAATATGCAATTTGGCCACCCACTATGCCGGACAGAGAAGAGTTGCTTGAGAGGGACCCGAAGACGGGTATTGCAAGGCCGAAGGAGGCGTTGAAGAAACAAAGGTACTCGAAGAAGACGTTCTGGCATGAGATGCAGTATTCGGGCGTTACGATCTTTACGAGTGTTATCTTTTTTGGGGCGTTCTTTGTTTAGAGGTTTAGACTTGAGTAAGCTGCTCCCGGGAGACTTTATTTCGTTTAGATTTAGATGGATTAGAATTGGTGTTGAGGTTGAGTTATTGATTGGAGTTGTGAAGTAGTGGCTCATTGAAGGATCCCATGCCCTAATGTTAATTTATGAATATACTGTTAGATGTATTGTGTCTTGAGTTGTCTCCTGCTATTACATATCACATAATTCACAAGGTTTATCAATATCAAAGTATTACCTTGGGAAGAAAGCTCTCCACCCCCTATTGCTGTAATTATGTATCCTGGAAGTGAGGCCCATGTTGGCTAAAGTTAGTGACCGTCTTAAGATACAATTTGCCCCCATTTTTCAGAAGAACGAAACTTCGGAAGTGTCAGGCTGTCAGTAGCTCACATGACAACACACAACACCCATGTGTATTCAGGCTCCTTATCGTGATGTCGGCGATGCTTATGTTGACGATGTCTGAGGGGGCGGTGATGGCGATGTCTGTCGTCACCATGATGCCTGTCATCCCCACGATGTCTGTTATCAATGTTATCCTCGTGATCCGAAACGGGTAGTCCAAAATCCGGCCGTACAGGTAGCGGGCCAGCGCCTAGCCATTCATGCCGAAGGAAGCTCATCTCTTCCCCCTCAAGTTGGGAATTGTCTGCCCAGAAAGCCCCCATCGAGCTAGCTGCTCTTCCGTTGGCTGCCCATTCGTCCCACCGTTCTGCATTTCATTCATAACTGACGACCCGATATCACACCAAACAGGCCACTCCACCAACCTATCGAGGGAGGCGTACATCTTTACCATCGCGTCACACCAAAGTTTTCCGTGTCCAGTAACTCCATGTCCGCTCTCAGGGAAAAAGACTCTTTTCTCACAGCACTTCTTTCTGCAGGCATAGAAATGGAGGAAGGCATGCAACATCTCATGGAGCAGAGTGCAGACGATCCGTTGCTCGCCCCCTTGGGGTTGCAAGTACCCTGATCTGCCAAGTAGATACGCCAAGTTGATCTCAATATCGCTCTTATCTTTAGAAAAATCGCCATGAATATTCTCCTCGTTGTCGGAATACAGTGTTATTCCTCCCTTTAGGACTGAGTGTGCTTTATCGAAGAAGAATATCTCATCCAGCACAGGAAACCATTCTTTGACGAGCTTCTGCGCCTCGGCCTCGTTCTCGCACAGGCGGACAGGGATCTTAACTCTGATCTGAGCCGCAGTAGAGAGCTGAGAGGCGTCTCCTTTTTCGGCATTTTGTTGGAGGAGGTAACTAATCTCTTTAGAATTGTAGCGGTTGGGCTTAGTATTGGGAAGCTCGCGTAAGAACTTTGGATGATCCGAGACACCGGAATCGTGAACTTTCAAGTATAATAGGTGGTCGGGAAGACGTTTCTTGGTGTCATATTTCTTATCCTTAGAAGCTGACTTCTTATCAAGGCTCTTCTTATCCTTAGACTTTTGTGGTGATGTTTTCCCTTCCCCATCGTGATGAGTCTTACCGTTAGAAAATGTCCGGCTTCCTTTGGGTTGTCAGATAATGAGGAAAGATTAAGGTGTGGGATATTTTATCAATGATTACGTATTGCTCTGTTAAATTAGTTCCTTTCTGCTTTAACGAAAGACGCCAATAAACAATAAACAATGCGACTGTTTTCTTTATTTCCATATTTAATCTCGCTTGTTCCCCCTTTGTTCTTAAGCGAGACCTTTTTACCTCAGGTGCTGAATATGAAGGTGGCTGGTACAGCACACTAAAACATGAGGGGTCTACGAGCCATTACAAAGCCGATTGTGTTTATGAGGGTTAGGCGGTGTTCAACGCAATCAATTCCCATCGTATGTTATCAGTTCAGTATTAGATTCAGTTCTACATGTCTGCTGTTACATTTCAAGATTTTAACAATGCACGTCAATTTCAGGTTCCGTTATAGTAAGAGAATATCCTATTGTCTACTGCCAGAATTGCCGCACGTGGATCCCAAGAGTCTAGTAACTGCTATTAATACCTAAAGAATGGGTCGTCGAATTTTCGCAAACCATGAAGGAACTGCGGAAGTGCATGCAGCTTACATGACAGAACAGAGTACCCACTGTTGGTCCTGATCTTGGCTATCATCACTGCTATTATTACTGTCGTATTCACTGTCCTCGTAGTGGTGGTGGTGGTGTCGGTGGTCATGGCGAGAATCGGGCCACTCTTTCCTCACGAAGCCCGTTTCCTCATCCCCAAACATTGCGTTGGCCGTCGTTTCTCCCTGTAATTCCCATCGCACAAACTGCTCTCTGGTGGGCTGCCACTCTAAACGCTCATTCTGCATCTCCATCATGACTGCTACATCTATGCCAGTATCCACAGACCAGCCGACCAACTCCCCAAGTTTGGTCTCGATCTTGATCATAGCATCGCACCAAGCAGGTCCATGTCCACCCCCACAGAACAACCTATCAATATCCGTGAAGAACTTTCTCCAACAGCATATCTTTCTGCAAGTGTAGATGCCAAGAAATGCGTGCACCATCTCGTGGATTAGAGTGGAGATGAGTTGGTGCGAACGTCGCCCCTCTCCGTCGCCGTGCGCAACGTTATTGATCTCGATCCTGCGTTTGTTCGGATCAAATTTTCCATAGAAGCGTTTATAGTCTTTGTTGTACACGGTGAGTCCGCCCTTTAGGTGTGTGCGGATTTTGCCAAAGAAGAATACTTCATCAAGTACGCGGAACCACTTTTTCATTAGGTGGCAAACTTCACTGGTCGAATGGCAGCTAGGGACGGACTTTTCGAAAAGACGCTGGGCTTTTGCAGGGAGCCGCGAGAATGATACTTTGATGGCATTCTGCTGGAGGATGTTGCTGAGTTCTCGGGGATGGAAGCGGTGCTTTTTTGGATTGGGGAGCTTATCCAAGAACTGTGCGTGAGAGGACTTGTGGTGCTTCTTCCTCTGGTGGGAGGACTTGTGACGATGCCCTTTCCTTCCTGAGGGCGTTTGATGGCTTATATCTCCATTTTCAGACTTTCCCTCATCACCGGACTCTTCCTCATCACCGGACTCTTCCTCATCACCGGACTCTTCCTCATCACCGGACTCTTCCTCATCACCGGACTCTTCCTCATCACCGGACTCTTCCTCATCACCGGACTCTTCCTCATCACCGGACTCTTCCTCATCACCGGACTCTCTCTCGTCATCGGATCTTTCCTCATCGACGCCAGACCATTCCGATCGTATGAAGCCAACGTCTCTACCCAGCTTTTCATTGAACACTGTTGTTTTTGAGAGACCCCATCGAACCAGCTGGTCTTTTCTTGGTTGCCAGCTGCTCTCTTCCATCTCCAACATCACGGAGCTCGCAATGTTGAAGTCTGCTTCCCAGCCAACCAGCTGTTCGAATTTAGTCTTTACCTTGACCATAGCGTTGCACCAGACTGATCCATGCCCTTTGACTTCCTTGGCGTTATCTTGACAGCACTTCTTCCCACATGAGAAGGTCCCGAGGAATGCATGCACCATCTCGTGGAGCAGGGTAGCAAGAAACTGGCGCTCGCAGCGCCGGTGGCCAAGCTCATGCCCGACGTTGACCTCGATCCACGATTTGGCGCTGTCGTATACGCTCTTATTCGTTTCGGGGGTCGGGTCGTTATAGACATGAATCCCGTTCATCAAATGTGGACCAACTGTGCTGAAGAAAAAGATCTCATCCAGGATTGGGAACCATTCCTTGACGAGCTTCTGGGCGTCAGACTTGGCGTCGCATATCCTAACTGGCATTTTCAATCTATGTTGTGCGGTGGCCGAGAGTTGGGAGATATGGCGCTTGCTGGCATTCTGAAACAACAAGTAGCTGAGCTCTTTGGGGCGGTACCGGTGTGGCTTAGTTTCGGGCAGTTCATCGAGGAACTGTGGATGGTTGGTGTTGCCAGGATCATGGCCATCCAGGTATGAGAGATGAAGAGCACGAGTCCTCTTGCGGCGAGAATCGTTGACATCGATTTTCTTTTTGTCGTGAGCTTTCTTATCGTCAGACTTCTTGTCATGATGATTTTTCTTCCGGTCGTGGGCTCTCTTGTCTTCGGACTTCTTGTCATGGTGTCCTCCTTTCGGCATTTTGATGACGTCTGGGGTGTTAGCCAGCAAAAGCTCCCACGTATTTGGTATGTTGAGCAATGCAGAAGGATCGGAAGGTTGATAATTTATTGTTATATACTGTTCTATCTGCTATGTTCCTCGCCCTTTTAAATCCACAAAGGAACAATATCATTGTTTCCTAAGTTTCCTTCCCTGCTGTTCGCTTTGTTTTCCCCCTTTGTCCCTGAATTAAGAACCGAAGTACTCGGACTCCACTGCCAACGCATAGGTAGCTGGACTCTTCTTCCCATTCTTGCCTACCGCCCTCAATCCAAATACCGCGTTGTCCTTACTGATCGGAAGGCGAGTCGTGTTTTGAGTCCCAACATTTACCATATGTGTCCACTGTAATTAAGTCAGCATCCTCTCTCCCAAGATCTCCAGTAAACTCACCTGTTGACTAGACATCGGCCGCCACACAATCTCATAATAATCCAGCAACGGATCAACTGGATTCGTATTCCAATAAAGCTTGATAATATTATCAAGATAATCAGCGGGAGTCGTCAGGCTGCTCGCCAGGAACCCAATATTCACATCATACGTGAAATTCGACGGGGTAGCAGGCGCATTCGCAATACTCCAAAGACTGAGTAGATTCACTCTCCCCACTCTCGCGGTGTAGTCGAAGTCTACATATTCAATCTCATCGCCGTAAATAACACCATCCTGAGTCCTCGGATCCTGATGCTGATGATAGAAATCCTCCTGCGGTTCCGTGAATCTGATGCCTGGAAATCCAGCTTTGGGGAAGGATTCGTGGTCGCCTCCGCGGTGGAAACGGTCGGGCTTGTAGATGAGTGCTACATCCATATCAGTCACAAATGCGGCACCTGCGTTGAGTTCTTGGACGTAACGTCCTAGATGGCGAGCTGGAGTGTCATCTTGATAGCCCGTTGCGATGATTTCTGTGATGATGCGGGCTGGGAGAGTCAAATAGTCTGTTCCGGCGCCGAAAATTCGGACGGTGTGCTGGTTCTGAGGGTCGAAGGGGGCGTTCGAACCACTTCCTACAATATCGTCGTTGAAGTTTCCTTGCACGTTGACTGAGGCATTTTTCACTTCTCGATATCAGACCAGACTCGGGAGCAGGTGGGAAGGAATTAGTACTCACGCGTTTGAGCGAGAAAGTTACTGCCATACAATCCTTGCTCTTCACCTGAAACAGCTGCAATGATGATACTGGCAGCAGGCGGGTTCTTTGCAACAATGGGAGCAAGAATGCGAACAAGTTCTAAAGCAATAGACACTGCAGAAGCATTATCATCAGCCCCTGGGGCGTCGTCCATGTTGTTGCTATTATTCAACCTCCTCGAGTCGTAATGCCCGGTATAAACATAAGTCCTATTCGGGTCTACAGCACCTTTGATCTCAACCTGCACATTACACACGTCCGCCCCAATTGGCATCCCAGAACTCGGTTGAGCTGCCTGAAAATAACACGGCATGGAAACATTCATGGCTCCATTCGACGGTTTCGCCAGCCCGGTCATCTCACTTAATAGCCATTTTCGTGCTGCTCCGATGCCCCGAGTAGGACTCGTGGTGTCTGAAGCTGTATGCCGTGTGCCAAAATTAACAAGTGTTTGTATTGCTGATTGGATTCGTTTCGAGTCTATTTGTTTCAATAGTTCGAGAGTTTCATGGTCTGTTGTTTGCGGGACGAGTGGTACTCCTACGCTGGACAGTGGCCATGTTGCCGAACCCCAATTTGCGAAACCATTGCTTCCGAAGGTCGGTGAGTGGTCTGATAAAGCAAATACCCCTGGTCGAAAAATGAGTATTGCCGTGCAAAGGAGGCCGGCAAAATCTAGAAGCGATCGCATTGTCGCATGGGTCGCCGTTTCCGACTCCAAAGGGAATTCTCAGGATTATTGTAATTCGTTTAAAGATGGAACTCTCGTCGAGAGGTTCTCCACATTCGACGTCGTTATTCGAGATTTTGGGATTTTGGGAAGGTGTTTTCTCCCGCATCATGTCAGTGGTTTGCCTAGGAGGGAAGGTGGTACTTTAAGTAGGGGGCAGATAAGCGATACAAGATAGGGACGGGGGTTCAAGAGCCTAATTGGCCTACGATCATCGCTGATTTCAAATATACAACGCGTTTCAGGCTACCTTACAGCTCAAAGGTGGGGTAAATGCTTCCCCGCGGCCGACGCGGGGTCAGCCTACAGGGAGGGGGAGGATAATTAATTTGGAAGGTGGCTTATGTATTTCATCAATCTATTTGATTCTGTTCATTTGTTGCTGGAAATATTCTACTGGAAATTCTGTCTTCTCTTAAGACTCAAGGATTGCCTCCCCCCTTTGGCTCTTCTAACCATTCTATGCATGTCTTTGAGTTTAAAAAGTGCCTGTGACTTAGGATTTTCATCCCATGTTCTCCATAGCGGGCGGGAAAGCCACCACTTTGTCAACTGCTCATCAGCTGGCTCGAAGCCATTTATTGCTTAGGTGGTGCTCTGATTCTCTTAAATCGGTGCGTGTCGACACTAATGTGGATGCTGCGGCTGGCATGGTCGTAAACTGCATGTGTGCCTGTTTCTTGTATGTCGCCCAATAATACGGATCAGCCTCGGAAAGCCTCAACGGATTTGGTTTGATTCCCAAGGGAAGAAAAGAAGAATGCTTTATCCAGAATAGGAAATGCAGTGATAGGAAATGCAATGGTGAGGATGGTCTGAGTCTCCAACTCGACCTCATCGCCAACGTCATCCTTCAAGTTAAACAGAAAATCCTTCTCCATTTGGTTAATTACCTTGTGATGGAAATTTCCGTGTTATATCCTATGACCTTTGAAGGGTTTTGGACACCGCAAGTATCCGGTGCTCGTTTCCTACCTTCTTCAAGCAAACCCGCTATGGCATGGTACGGGACGGGATGGAGGGGTGGCACGGAATGGGGAGTACGATACAAGTCTACGGGAACGGGATTGTAGCCCTAAAGGGGCAATTGTTTCCTTGTACTCAAGGGTACTCCCAGGTTGCTTTCCATGGAGCAGGTATCCGAAGGGTGAGAATACGGGAAACCTAGATAGACATAGGCCAAGTTCAGTGTCGAGAAAGTAACAGAGGAGAAATGACCCAAACGTGCCACATTAAACTTCTTCCGAGTAAAATATCCTATTCAGACCGTGTTTATTGCCGAAAACAATCCCACTGTTATGAACCGTTCAAAACTTTGAGAAAGGAAACAAAGGATGCGAATGCTTTGCTAACGTCAAGTCTTTAAAGCTATACCTACTAAAAATTCGTTCGAAAGACAGGAACAGACTTAAAAGTCCAAACCCCGGGTCAAACAATCATTCACTACAAAACTGATCCTCCGTGCAATTCTACTCCATCATTGTTCTGTAAAAAACCGTGCTGTCCTACTTCCGGTAGGAACAATGCCGTGTATCAATACTGTTGACAACTTCGCGTCTCCGAAGTCTCCAGTTTCCGAGCTACTGCGATTGGCCAACCCCCCCTTTCCGGGAATATGTAAAACGACCCCCCACCCCCGATTGTCGATAGGGGTGTCGATTGGGGGCCGGGGTGTTTAAAGACCTTAAGTTGAGATTTTTAATATACGTATAAGCTAGTATGTTATAAGGCTTATAATATAATCATGTGCTTCTTAACTTATAATAAAATAATTTCTTGAAACAGAATTTTAATTTAAACGAATTTATATGTTAATTATTTAAGTTCTAGTTTTTAGGCCCTATAAAGTCCTTTAAATTAGGGGCTTATAAGGCTCTCACTTCTAGTTTTAGAGACTTATTCGCTAAATTTTTAGACTTTCTTAAGCTTACTTTTAAGTTATAAAATATTTGCTTTTTGAATTCTTTAATTTAAAAAACCATTACTAATTTATATATTTTTAAAATATATATATAATTGAATAACCCTTTAGTAGCGCTATAAGAAAATCAAAGAAGTATTAAATTAAAGAGAAAGCTGGACTTTTGGTGTGCCTGTCAGAGCGCCTTTACTTTGGGTTAGTGGCCCCCAATTGACACCCCAATCGACACCCGGGGTGGTGTCGTTTTACATATTCCCCCCTTTCCGATGGCCAAGAGAATGCCATGTCAGCTCTCCACACACCAAAACTTCTTGCTCCCCACCTCCTGTATATCTGGGGTTCGAGTGGATCACAAATACGCCCCAAGCACGGTACCCCATGCTGGGCAACTGTGACAACTCTTAACTGGGTCAGGAACCCAAGGCTGCGGAGCCGACATGCACCCAGACCATGCAGTCTACAAGCCACCGTCTCGGCAAACATCCACTGCTTGTTCTCGGAACGGAGATGTAGAGTACGTGAGGAGGACCGGCGGTGTTAAGCCCCGACTGCTGCCGCTTCCGAGTCTCACAGGATCATCGCAAGAACCCATATAGTCCAGGAAATTCTTTGACGGGATGTTTCAACTTGCTCACTTGTATCATTTTCTCCGAGTAAAGTGAAATTGTCAACAGAGGTCTCCTTCATTCCTTCAATCTTGTCTCTCGCAATGTCCCCCAATCCCTTTCCGATTTATCACCAAGTATGGCGAAAGACGGAGAAGTCGAATTTCTCGAGTCCCAGAGGATACCCGGCTGCAAGCCTTCAGCAGATTCCAACAGATGCCGCCGAATCAGAGCCTGCCCATTGGGCGATGGGCCATCCGATAACTTTGCAGATAACGCCCAACTCGCACGCCTCCCGTCAATCGGGCCGTTTAGCATTGACACAATTCTACGCGGCGTCCCTGCCTTGCTGCCTCGAAGATCGCCTACTGATCAGGTCCACTTAGTACTCGTTATCCAATCCGCAAATACAAACATTATTTAAGACCCGAGCCCGTACCCCACGGATCAAGTCACTTCCCTAGTAGCAGGCTTCTCCTTTCAATTAACTTATCGATAAAATCTCCCCATTTAGCGTCAGATCGATACGTGTCTCGAGCAATCGTAATGGCGGCTATCCCGGTTTCACTGCCGATAGCTCGATCCGGTTCCCTCTCGAAGATGGCGCGTTCCACGTCCGCATGAAGATTCCATTTTCCATCATATGGCACTTCGACCCCAGCATTAGCCAGTGCCGGCCTCGCAAGCCTTGGGTTGCCAAACTATTTGGACAGTGCGATAGCCTTTCATTCAAGACCGTCAAGCTTGCTATTCGTCATCTCTTCCAGATCTCGCAACAACCAAGTGGCTTGCTCTTCGGAAGAGAAGAACCTGTTCGCTTTTCCGTTGCGAGTTGTGACGTGGATAATTGGGAGCATCTTGGTAGCTCGAATTTTCTCTTGACATTTTCCGTCGGGGCTGAGGACAATGGTAACACCAGGGTTTTGGTTTTCGAGGCCAACGAGAAGTTGGTCCAAGGCAGTATCCACTTCTCCGGGGAGGAATTTGGTGAAAAAGAAAAGGCGGCTTGGACGGCAGGATGGACGAACTTGGTGAAGCCGTGCGGAAGGTCAGACTCGTTCTTGACTCCCCTTGAGCGCGAGATGCGGGACGAGAACCTGGTACAGTACAACATGGACACTACATGGCTAAGGTGTCTGGCAGTCTCGACGAGAACGAGTCGCCCGGAAGCTTATTTCGCGAGCCATAAATTGTGGTAATATTAGTCTCAACTATTAAAAAGTCCGTCAGCACAATTATATTATATATTCTCTATATACCACTTCTCTTCCGCTTCCCTCTCTCGTGCCCTTTCCCCACTTTAACTAATCCTGTTTTTCTTGGTCTTTAAGTTCGTTCTTAATTCCAAGTAATTTCTCGCGCCTCTAGAGGATAGGGCTTCGAGTCAGATCAATTGGGTCGAATGGCAACCTCCCACTCTTCCCGGGAAAAGAAGGTCAAATTGGAAGGCTACGCAATACAAATCTACAAAGTTCAGGAAACGAATCGGTCTTTCGGGAACGTGACAACTTTCAAAGTTTCATCCATCTCATTGCTCAGTTCGTACATCCAGTGTGGGCTCCGATAAGCTCGATAAGCGATGATTAGATAATCGCGCTAATTTGTTAATAATCGATAATTATTAATAATTGGCGATAATTATTATTCTAGGCAGTGAGGGGCCCGGCAGAATCTGCCCCTCCTGCTCTCTATTCTAATTAATTAATTAATTAATTAATCTTTATACTAGTTCTTTAAAGAATATAACTAATTTGAGATATATTAAAAAAGTAATAATTTGAGTTATTGCTTTATTAATCTAATAGCTAGCTAACTACTTTGCCTTAGATATAAAGATTAATTCCCTAATACCTGATCTGGTTACTTTACTAGTAATCTAAATAAACTAACTACCCTATAGTACTATTATAAGGTGTTTACTAACCTTACTAATGCCTATTATTCCTAATCTCATTTATTAGACTAGCTTTATATTCTTTTTCTGGATAGTAACCCGCTTTATATAAATGGCTATAAGGTTTGTTACTAGAATTAGATTAGTATAAAAATTAGTATAATTAAGAAAAATGACTTATACTTAAACTCCGTAATAAGAAGCATTTCCGCAGACTCTTATAAAGTATATAAAGCCGAAGCTTAGATATATATATCTTATCTATTCTCCTGAGCCAAAATCTCCTTTACTAATTAATGAAATAATATCTTTGGAATTAATAAATTAGTATTCTTCTAATATTTTCTAATTTCTTAAAAGATCTTGGCTATAAATCCAGTTAGTAGATATACTAATATTTTTACTAATTAACTAATTACTAGATCTAAACCTATATTTTCTCTTTTTTTATATAATAGCAGGAATATGGCCTTTTTTGCCAAGTGTCTTTCTTAGAGCCTTGCTTATAAGAGCCTTCCTAGAAGTAATACGCTTGCTATTAGTTTGCTTGATTTATACTATAATTAAATAATTAACTAGAGATTATAATTACTATATCTTAATTAGTATAGTAATTAATATAAATTAAGAGATATACTATAGAAGAGGTTAATTAAGGGATTAATTAAGGGATTAAAATAGTATAATTAAAGGAAAGATATTAGCTAAGATAAAATAATAGAAAAGAATAAGATAATAGCTTAAAATTTTTTTTATATACCTTAAAAGTGAATTATTTTATATTATAAAGTTAATTTTATTTCACTTTACCTCGCTTATCTTTTAATCTCTTCTTAATTACTTAATTATACTATTATATAACTCTATACTATAACTTATAAATTAGTATTCTAATATACTAATTAATTTACTAATCTCTATATAGATTATCCTTATAATATATTCTATAATAATAAACTATAATTAGTATACTAAATATATTAGTAATTATAAAATATTACTAATTATTATTAAATTATCCCTAGAACCTAAGATAAGTTTATACTTATATTATATTAATTTTTATACTAATTATAATATTATAGGATAGTAGCCATATTAATATAATATCTTAACTAGCTTCTTTTATTAGATCTATTTATACTACTATTTATAAGAGAAAAGTACTAATAGATCTGTCTCAAAACCCAAATATTATAAAAGTATATAAATATAATAAAGTTCTTATAAAAGACTTTATTTATACTAAGATTAAGAAAATAAAGATAGTAGATTAAGGTATAATTATAGTAGTAAAATGCAAGGTAATAAGCTTAGTAGTATATAAGAGTACTTTATTATTAAAATAGCAGGAAATAGTATAGGAGTTTATTATAAGTATTAAATTAAGGAAGTATTTTCAGAATATTCCTATACTAATCTTTATATTAATCTGGCTTTAGAAAATAATAAGAAAAGAATTAGAAAGTAATTAAATAATTACTTGGCTATAGTAAGTATAATAGCTTATATATAGCTTGGAATAATAGTAATCCGGTATAAGAAGATATTAAATATAATTCCGAGAATAATATATAGTTTAAGAAAATATAAAAGACTAAGGAAAAGCTTAATTAAAAGAAAGAGATTAAGCAAGTTTTAGAGAATAAAATAAAATAAAAGGCTAATAGTATATAAAAAGCTTTAGCTAAGGTATATAACTTCTTTTTGGATTAGTATAAAAATTAGTATAAAACTAACCAAAATAGAAATATAAGTATATTAAGTTTATAGTATAATAGGAAACTTGGTAAAAGAAGAAGAGATTCTTATTTTATAAGATTAGATTATTATATAGTAGGTATAGATTTTACTTATTTTTATATTAATTACTAATTATTATATAGTAACTATATTATACTTATTAGTTCTACTAAATTCTTTATACTAGGTAAAAAGGCTATTTAGAGAAACTTGGCTAGTTAGATATAAGAAGATAATAAATAGATTGATTTTCCTAGTCTTATTACTTAGTAGCCAGAATCCGAGGCTAAGTTAAATACTACTAGCTTTTACTTTTCTACTAAATTTCGAAAAGGCTATAAAGTAGTAATATTACTAGTATATACTAGAAAGAAGCTAAAGAATAGCTTATACTAATATATTTTCTTATCTAATTCTGAGTTATAAGTTATAGAAGATATTATAACTACTTAATAATATTTAAGAAACTTCTTTAGTAAAAGCAGTAGTTAGCTAGATACTATATCTTTAAGATACTAGAAGTTATAAATTATAAAGAAAATAATTATAATTATATTAATTTTTATACTAATCTTATTATTTTTTACTAGTATTAATAAAAATACTCAAAATCCTACTTCTTTTCTAATACTTCAAGTATTCTATTATCTTTAAAGTCTTAGCTATTATTTAGGTCCTATCTCATAATATTATATAGTAAGTACCTGAAAAGATTTGTTTTACTTTAATACTTATTACTAGAATTAAGAGAATATTAATTACTATAAGTAAGAGCTTTAGCTAGTACCTTTTTTATATATCTTAATACTATTATTAAAGTATAGATAAGTCCCTAATATTATATGGCTTCTTCTAATAATAATTCTTATATTTGTCTTAATTTACTAGCTATATATATTCCCCTAATATCTAAGTAATCTTATTAAAATTATCTAGTTCTTTCTTTACTAGCTATTTAATTTCCTTAACTAGTATTAAACTATTAGGGATAGATATCTAATCTCGATATTTCTCCTAAAGCTTTTTAACTTTAGTTAAGGTAGACTAAACCTATCTTTTCTTCTAATTGGCCTTAATATACTTTATATAGTAATTCGGATAAAGTATAAGAGTAATAATATAAAGAGATATATTATTAGACTTATAATAATATATATTAAAGACCTCCTACCTTTTCCGGATTCAAGTATAAAAGTCTTTATTATTTATATATATATTTTATTATACTATAATTAGTATTATTAATTCAAGTAATAAAGATTAGTATAAAGATTAGTATAAAGATTAGTATAAAAATTATTACTTACTAGTAATTTATTAAATACTCGAATTAAAATATCTATTATAAAAAGCACTTAATTAATAGTTATAGTATTTTTTTAAATCTCAAGAATAGCTCTATAAAATAGTTTAAGAAAGATAGAAATCATTTAAAGCCTTCTTTAGTTTTTTAGACTAAGGTAATCTAATTTCAGATCTGTAAGATACTTCTTATAATAGGTATTAAGATAAGTATATTACTAAAGAGTAATATTAAGTATTATATACTAGCTATTTTATTATATCTAATTATTAAAAGGAATTATTCTTCTAATAAGAGCTTTAAATCTGGTAATCTGACTAGGAGAATAATAAATATATATAATAATATTATAAAGCTAGCCTAATAGTCCTAAAAGTCGAAATTTCATTTGTTTTTTCTTATTACTTAATAGGGCTTCTAAATCTCCTAAGTTCTCTTATTTATTAAGTGCCTCTAATTTTCTATTTATAAAAATATTATAAAATAAAAAGATTTATATAAAAAGGTTAATAATATATTCTAAATAATAAACTTACTATTATAAAGTATCTTATTCTAATTCTTTTTTCCTTAGTAAATAAGCCTAAATAGCTTAATATAATATATTATTTATACTAGTATTATTACTAATAATAGTTTCAAGTTATTTAGTAATATTATAGTCTTGAAATATAGGTTATAAAACCGTAAATTAGTCTTTTCCTAAATAACCTGGTATTATATAAAGAGCTAGAAGGGCCTTTATATAATTCTTATCTTATTATTTAATAAAATATATAATAATACTTAAAAAAAGATATTCTTATAAAAAAGTCTAGATATTAAGAGCGAGATAAATACTTGAAATTATAGACTAGAGTTTTTATTATATAATATTCTTTAAGCTAACCTAGTATTCCCTAAGCTTTTTTCTTATATAAGAGTAAGTTATAAAAAGAAAGAACTAAGATTCTGAATTAAGTACTTAATAAAAGATATAAAATTCGGGTTATTTAATTACTCGAAAAGATAAATTATAGATAATAATTAATAAAATTAAAGCTTTATAAATTACTACCTAATTAAGGTATTATTAAAAGATATATATATTAATTTCAGTTATTTGGCCAGATAACTTTACTTATAAATAAAGTTATTATAGCTAGTTAATTACTTTTAATTAAAATAGACTAATTTCTAATCTACTCTTAATAGTAATATTATATACTAACTTGAGATAATTATATTAATTAGTAGAGACTAAAGTCGAATAAATATTTAGTAGATTTTCCTTTTTATAAGGAAGATAATAGTAGTATTTGAATAGTTCTCTTATATCTAGATACCTAAGACAAGTATAAGCCCAAATAGCTCTTGCAAGATCTTTTTATTTGGAATTAGATTTGGATTGAATCGAGTCTATATTAGTAGAGGCTTAGTAGATTAATAAGATAGATTTAGAAGCCATATTTAAATAATAGAAAATAAAGTATTATTATATATTAAAGAGAGAATAAAAGAGAGTATGAAAATTTTAATCTTTTTTAGAAGAAATAGTAATATGAATCTTAGTATTACATATTAAATACTAGCTAGTCTATATTATATAATAGACTATTAAATAGAAAGTATAATAGTATATTTATAATAGTTTACTTTTATACTAATCTTTATACTAATTGGTTTATAATTAAACTAGAAAGCGAGATGTTTATATAATAGGACTCGCTTAATAGCTAGCTGGGCCTACTTTTATTAATAATTATCAAAGTAATAGGGCTTACTTAAGGGCTGGCTGGGCCCACTTTTATTAATAATTATTGAGGTAATAGGGCTTGCTTAAGAGCTGGTTAGGCCCACTTTTATTAATGGAATTATTAATAGCTGGATTAGATACTAGCTAGTCTATATTATATAATAGACTATTAAATAAAAAGTTAAAAAATCTAATAGTATAGTAATAATAGTATACTTTTATACTAATCTTAATACTAATCGGTTTATAATTGAACTAGAAAGCCGTAATGGGGCTCGTTTAATAGCTGGGCCCACTTTTATTAATGATTATTAAGGTAATGGGGCTTGCTTAAGGGCTGGCTGGGCCCACTTTTATTAATAATTATCGAGGTAATGGGGCTCGCTTAAGGGCTGGCTGGGCCCACTTTTATTAATGATTATTAAGGTAATAGGGCTTGCTTAATGGCTGGCTGGGCCCACTTTTATTAATGGAATTATTAATAACTGGATTAGATACTAGCTAGTCTATATTATATAATAGACTATTAAATGGAAAGTTAAAAAGTCTAATAGTATAATAATAATAGTCTACTTTTATACTAATCTTAATACTAATCGGTTTATAATTAAACTAGAAAGCCGTAATGGGGCTCGTTTAATGGCTGGGCCCACTTTTATCGACGATAATTATCGATATCGATCGTTTATCGATCGCTTAGCCGATAACGATTACTAATCGATAATCCCGATCGATAATTTATCGGAGCCCACACTGCGTACATCAAGGATCAGCTGAAAGATGTACTCACATACCGTGGTGTAATTTGGGAGAACAAGGCAACAATCCATTGGCATCTCGAGCCGATATACTTCGCGCGCGAGAGGGTTGCGGAGCTTTCGAAAGTCGCTCAGGAGAAAGAAGTTCAAGCTCATCTAGAACAACTTTGTAAGCTTATCAATGACGAACTGGGCCCTACCATCGATGAAGTCGAAGACCTCGAGAAGCATAATCAGATCACACATGCTTTGGTTTGGACCTTGTTCCCCAAAGGGACAATTGCCGTGGAAAATGGCAGCAGAAAGCAAAAGCCGCAGTCTGTATACCGCGTTCTTCAAAGCACCAGAATGGCCTCTTCAAGTTCAAACTTCAAAGTCAAGGTCGAATATGTCAGGTTCGATGGGATCCGCTACCGAATCAATGAGATGACACTCAGAATCCCCTTCTTTGAAGGAAAGAAACCGATCAATACTCTTACCTACTACCCAATTGATGCCGCGACTGGTCCTAAATTGCTTAAGGAACAATTTTGCGCTCGCGGACGGCGGGCACTTGATTTCCAGGGTATTGAGTACATGCGGTTTCAGGATCTAGGCAATGATGGACAGGGCATTCCAGGCGATCCAGGGGGTAACCTTACGGGCAACTTGGTAAAATCTCTTGAAGCCGTATCGCAATATTGAGTGCTGATAACACTGTGATACAGATCCAGACTCGTGTCATAATTGATTTCTTCGGATTCCGCAAATGTATTTTTGATCCCATTAGCGGAGAGCTTCTGCCGGGCTATAAGAAGGTTGAAAAGAGAAAACACGATCGTGGTGGCCAATTTGATTCATCCGCGCTCGATCCACCCAGCGAGAATAATTCTAACTCCGCCGACCCGGAGCAAAGCAACAGAAAGAAAACTGCAGAATCGTCTGTAAAGACGAGGTTTGCCTTCACATTATGTTCCCCTATACTGGAGGCTTTCCTCTCTCCTCGAAATCCTGGAGGGGTTTCCAGAACGATGAAATATTTCCTCTACATTTGACTGATGAAGCCAACAACCACCTCGTCTACCCAGAACAAAACAAAGATCTTGTATGATCCCTTGTGCAACATCACAAAGGTCACCCGAAAAGAAGCGACGATGTGATAGCGGGTAAAGGCCGAGGTCTTCTCGTCTTACTTTCAGGACCTCCAGGCACTGGGAAGACTTTGATGGCCGAAGCAATCGCTGACAAGATCCGGTTGCCGTTATATCATGTTGCTGCGAGCGAGATGGGGACACCCACTTTGGTCGACCCCGCTTTCGACGATATAATGACAAACACAAGTGTATCAAATGAGTAGAGTAGAGTAATAGGCCCTACTCATACTCTACTCAACCAAAATTTGTCCTACTTATAGTCTACTCAATACTCAATGAGTATATACTTAAGTAGTCTGAGTATTCCTTTGACACACTGCAAACACCGCCGACTGGAATGCTATCATCCTGCTCGACGAGGCGGCCATATATCTCCGGCAATGTTCAGAAATGACTGACGTACGTTACAGCACTCCTGAGGCGGCTCGAGTACTTTCAAAGAATAATGTTCCTCGCCACAAACTTCTACGAAACCATCTACCTAGCCGTCGAATCCTGCCTACACATCCATCTGCGCTTCGAACCTCTCCATTTCTCCTCGCGGTCTCAAATCTGGTCTAACTTCCTGGCCCGCCTCAGCACCTCCTCTGCTACTTGTAGCAAACCCTCTCAGGAGGAGATACAAGGATTGGCGTTATGGACTCTAGCCTACTTGTCCTTCCAGTACCAGGTTCAATTACTAATTTAGTGCTCACCACTCTTATTTGTAATACGTTACTTGCAAAGCTTACCAAGCTCACTAATATATTATTATTTTAATTACTTTTGCTTTACTAGCTAATTTATAATATATTAGTAATGCACGTAAAGATCGCAGAGTAGGGAGTTGCATTGGATGGTAAAAGAGTTCATTGAACTAGCTAGAAAAGAGCTTGAGTGAAGTGTGAAGCTTCAGGAAGTGAGTGCACAGATCCTGACTAAGCAGAGCGATTGCGCTAGCCCCAATTCAGTGATTCTCACTGCAACAATTAGAGAAAGCGGGCTCGGTATTATTAATATTACTAATAAGTAATAGAAATAAAGACTCTTATTTAGAATACTTTCTTCTCCGTTTTTGGACTTGACTCTACTATATCTAGTTATTATATGCATTGTCAACTCTTAATATATCGCTTTTGTACTAATATATTAATCCCTTTTTCAATACTATATAGCTCTGGAGGCTGTTCTGCCGGGCTAATTAACCTCATAGGGGAACGGAATTGTGTAGTGGGTGGATTTAGTATGCTTTTGTAAGGAGCGATACAGTATATTAGCCAGGACATGAGTTTGCACGAGATTATTCGCTCAATTCCGCATAATGCATATTCATCTACACTGGCCGTGCTTAATATCTCAATTGCAGCTACTGAGTTTGAAATATGCTGGCAGCAAGAAAACTGCAGGAGATTGCAATTATGGGTATATGTAACAGCTCTCGCTAGTAGTCGCTACTGCAATCACTACCCAGTGGTAGTTCAACTCTAATCTCACTATCTCCGTTCTAAGGTGGGTTAGTAAGACTGGCCGCTTCTACTCAGACACTAATGACCCTCGGCTCACCCTCGGCTCACCCAGCTCACCTGAACTGCCTGAGTAACTGGAGTAGTCCCTGAGCAACCTTAGCAGTAATAGCCGGCTCCTTTCCTGCTCCCAGGTTCTTCTCTCACAGTCGGCGAAAGCGAATATCACGCTCCAGATAAATTAACTACCAATGAAAATTCTCGAATCGTGTAAACAGAAAATAGAAAACAGAATGCCGAGAGTTCGGGTTGATAGGGGATGGGCCGAAGCGGAATGGCATCATGCAATCACACCTCGTGGTGGACTATTGCACGTGACTCTCCTGCGCTACTACAAGTGTGATTGGGAAGGGTTCCATTCGTGTTCGTTAGGGTCCTTTGAATTAGGTCCCGAACGAGCGTACGTGATTCCACGTGTGTTTGATTACGTACGAAAGCATGATTGGAATCACACAAGAAGCTCCCGTCGTGATGGCGGAACGCCATCACCCCGCTCCTGACCGCAGGATGTGCCCACATGTCGGATGTTGCGAGTACTACGGAAAGCCGTAAGGATCAAAAGACCAAGCGATTTTCGAATCCGGTTTTCGACCTTCGATGTCTGATTTGTGGCACGTGCACACCCTACCAAAAATCACAAACACCTATATACCACGCCTATATATTACGTCCCCTCTCCCTGTGCCTCTATTATTACTTTAAATATTTCCTCTCTTTAATTCTTCTCGCTCTCTTTATAAGTATAAGGGTAAGAGAGGGAGAAGGGGGCAGGGGGGGAGGGCAGGGCAAGGGGACCTTACTAAAAATTTACATTGCAAAGCACTAAATTTTTAGTGCCTATAGCCTATAATTTAGTGATTGTGGC